TGAGGTAGGAGCTATCAGTGAGAAAGGCCAACATAAAGCCCCTGAAACTGCCTCCACCATTCCAGACCAAGATAATAAATAAAAAATACCACATTAGTGCCCCTCTTGAAGACCTAAAGGATGCAGGGATGGTGGTCCTCCTCCTATTGCCATTTAATTCACCCGTCTGGCCCCTGTCCAAACCAGACAGATCCTGGAGAATGACAGTGGATTACTGAAATCTCAATCAACAAGTAATTCTAATTCTATCCACTGTGTCCCAAATGTGGTGTCTTTGCTAGAGAAGATTAACACACTCTCAGGTACATGGTACGTATTGATCTGAGCAATGCATTTTTTTTCTATCTCTATAAGAAAGGAAGATAATAAAAGTTTGCTTTCAATATTGAGATGAGCAATAATAGGCATTTACAGTCTTGTCCCTTGGCCATGTAAACTCTCCTACTCTCTGTCATAATATAGTCTGAAGGGACCTGGACCATTTGGACATCCCATAGGACATTCTATTACTATATTGATGAGATCATGGTAATGTACAGGATGCACAAGAAATGGCAAGTACATTAGAGGCCTTGGTAGGATAAATGTTCTTTAAATGATGGTACACAAACCCTACAAATATTCAGGATCATGCCTTATCAGTGAAGTTTTTAGAAGTCCAGTGGTGTAAAGCATGCCAGAACATTCCCTCCAAAGTAAAGGAGAATTTTGCATCTCACACCTCTCACCACTAAGGAGGGAACACAATGCCTGGTAAACCTCTTCAGGTCTATAGAGAGCATACTCCATGCTTGGGAATACTTCTCTGACCCAAATATCAACTGACACAAAAAGCTGTCAGTTTTGAGTGGGGCCCAGAGAAGGAAAAGCCTCAATAACAGGTCAAGACTGTGGTACAAGTGGTCCTGCTGCTTGGTCCACAAGATACCACATTAGAGGTGTCAGTAATGGAAAAATACCACATGCTGTTTATGGAAAGCCCCAATAGGAAGTCACACATAGAACCCTCAGTTCAGGTGCAAGGCCATGCCATCTGAAACAAAGTATTATACATCTTCCAAAAAATAGCTCCTCACATGCTATTGAATCCTAGTTGAGAAAAAGTCCTTGCCCATGGGACATCAAGTGACCATGCAGCCAGAAATGCCTATTATAACCTGGGTTCTGTCAGACCCATAAGAGAGGTTGCATAGGTCTAGCAGCAATCCTTCATAAGATGAAGTGGTTTTATAGAATTGGCCACAATCAGGGACAGAAGGCAAAAGTAAGCTGCATAAGCAGGTGATCAGACGCCCCGTTGCTCACTGTTGCCCTGTTGCTCACTGTTGCACTGTTGCTTCTACCTCCGTTTACATCTGCAGCCACAAGGGTTGGGGGATCCCTCATGATTAATGACAGAGAGGAAAATGGCTGAGCCTGGTTGATGTATGGGTTGTTTCAGTAGGTGGAAGTAAGCTGAAAATAGACTGTGGCTGCACTATGGCCCCACTTAGAGATGGCCTGTGCACCTCCCTGAAGTGAGAATATATATAGACTTATGGGCAATGGTGAATGACTTGGCTGGTTGATCAAGAGCCTGAAAGAAGAAAAATTGGAAGATTAAACACAAGGAAGTCTAGGGAATAGGCACGTAGTGTACCTGAGAATGGGTATAAAGTGTAATGGTCTTTGCATTGCATGTTAATGCCCACCTAAGGATATCCACCACAGAAAAAGCACCAACCAACCAAGCAGACTGAATGACAGCCAAATGATGTTAGCCAGCCTTTGTTGTTGGCACCCCAATGCTGGCAAAATGAGTGTATGAATGGAGGAGCCATGGTGGAAGCTATGCATGGGCCCAACATCATGGACTCAGCAAGGCTGATCACTGTTGCTGTGGATGTCCAACTTGCTAGCAACAGAGACCAACACTTATCCTATGTCACCATTCCTAAAGGAAACTATCCAGCCACATGGTGGTAGGTTGATTACATTGTATCCTTGCTACCCTGGAAGGGGAAGTGTTCCATCTCAACTAGGAATTGATGTATGTTATGGGTATGGATTTGCCTTTCCTGCCTTCAATGCCTCAGTCCAGCGCCACCATCCAAGGGCTCACATAATGTTGGTCCATTGGTATGAGGTCTTGCATAACATTGCATTGGATCAAGAGACCCATTTTATAGCAAGGAGGTACAGCACTGGGTACACAACCATGGGATCTCCTAACCACATACCATACTACCTAGAAGCTGCCCCCCTGATAGTGATGGAATGGCCTGTTAAAGGTACAGCTGAGGCACCAGCTTGGAGATGATACCCTGTAAGAATGAGGCACCATCCTCCAGGATGCAGTATACACCCTGATCAATAGCCATCATATAGTGCTGTATCCCTGTGTAAAATACATCTGGGAAACAAGGGGTGGACGTAGGAGCAGCCCCCCATTCCCAGTTGGGGAATCTATGCCTCCTATCCCAACTCTAGGCTCTTAGGGTTTAGAAGTCCTGTTTCTTAGAAGGGGAGTATTTCCACCAGTGGACACACCAAGAGTCTCATTAAACTTTAAGCTATGGCTGGCTGTCACCAGATTATTTCAGATCACTACCAAGAGACAAGGAGGTAAGGAAAGGAGTCACTATCCCAGCAAGAGAAACTGACCCTGATCATCAAGGCTGCTGTTACACAATGGGGACAAGGAAGACTATATCTGGCACTCAGGTCATCCACTTAAGTATCTTGTTTCTCCCTTGCCCTTTTTTTTTTTTTCTTTTCAATTTTTGGACATTTACCTTGGGCTTTGGTTCTGTGTATCTTTTCTTATTTATCACACCCATTTTATGGACAGAGAAAGTGAGAGTTTTAGGAGCTTGCTCAGATGAGCACAAGGCCCTGCTAGCTCTAGACTAATTTGGTTCTGGTCCCAGGTGTGGTCTTTGCTCTCATTGATCACTCCAGCTGTCTCTCCATTTCACTCCCCCCACCCTGTCCCTCCTTCAGACCCAGGGGCCACTAAGGAGCTGCTCTTTGCCAGGTCTCCCCTTCCTGGGCTCTTGTAGGCTGGAGCCTAGGTGCAGAGCTAGGCTGAAGAGAACTTGAGGCCACACAGCTGCTAATCTCAGCTTCCATCCCTTGCCCAATTTCTTAAAAAAATTTATTTTTGTGGGATACAATGTTGTTTCAATACACGCATATACTGCACAATGATTCACTTAGGGTAGATAGCATAGTTTTGTCCCCATTAGTCTATCCCAATCTTCTCCCCACCCTCACCCCTCTCAGCCTCTGGTGACCACTATTCTATTTTCTTTCTTTTTCTTTCTTTTTTTTTTTTTTTTACACACACACAGATTAACTTCTCTACTGCAAAAAGAACTCTTAAAAATGAATTAGAAAAATCTAAGCAGACACTTGGTGAAGGATATGAGCAGGTAAGTCACATACCTCAAAGAAACACATGTGGTTAATAGGTACATTCTAAGATCTGGTTGTGGGCAGGGGCAGGGCTGGCCTGGCCCCTGACCCAGGATCCCGGGTGTTGGCTGGTTCCATTGCTGGCCTAGACGTGCCCTTGCCCAATTTTGATAATAAATGAACAAGTGCAGTGATGGCCAGAGAAGGGCATGTTGGCTAGGTACTTCATCAGGTAACCCACCTGGACTGGCAGAAGTGCAAGTCTGACGGGGTTGGGGAAGGAATCTAGAATGGGTAATAGAGGAAGGAGAGGAATACCAGCTACAGCAGCAGTGGTTGTGCAGGTCTGTCTTAGACTTTCCTAAGTTTTCCCAGGAAAAAGAGACCCATCAAAATCTTGGAGGAATCATTCCAGAACTTATAAAGCAAATGGATCTGAGCAGTACAAGTGGTGGACATTGGGGCACCTGCATAGCCATCCTAGTTTGAGCTCCCTGGGGGATCAGCTGAGGCCTTTGTTGAGACTGCATCAGCTCACCTTCTCCCTCTACCCAATACTGCTTCCTTCATTCTCCCACAGGTGTTGACCCAATAAACTTCCTGCACACAAATATCCAGCTTCAGTGTTTTTGCCAAGAACTCGACCTATGGCAAGTATTTAAACACTTTTTGAGATTAGCTGTGTGAAATGTGCCTGTTCTCTGACAATTTCAAAGAGCTTCGTGATGGTGGTGGTGGTGGTAGTGATACTGAAAGATGCTGTGTTAAATAAGCCTTCCATTTCAAGGAGAGTAGGGATGTGGATCATTAAGATGGCAAATTTCAAATAGTACCAGTGCCAGACCTGAATTACGGAATTCTGACAAGTGTGAAGTTGGGTACAGTGATCAGTACCAATACTGATAACAGACCTCTTGTTAGTTGGGATGGGATGAAAGTGCTTAATTGGTTCAGAGTGGTAGGTGAGTTCAAATAGGATGACAGAAACCAATCTCTCTGAGCTCCTGGTAAGGACAGCAAACGAGTCAATGATCCCATTTTTACCTCCTTAAATTGCATGGCCTCACATTATATTTACAGGACCCTGGCACAATCCACCTGTTAATGGATGTTCTTTTTTCTACTAATGGTCCCTGAGCTTATGCAGAACTATCTACTTTCCTCATCTCCCATCAAGACATCTATTCTAGAATTACCTAAAGACTAGCTCCATGTTTTAACTTTGGTCTGGAAATCAAGGTATCTTCTTTTCGGAATTTTAGGAGCTGGTTCAAGAAACAATAGAGAAGTTCCCTTTTTGAGCTTCTTTCATCCCAGCTTCAATTTCTTCAACAATTACTCTTATTTAGGTCCTCTTAGAGAAGTAGAATCTGTTGTGCTTATTCACATAGATGACTTTATCAATATATCTAATGAGAGTAAGTTTTAAGACCAAAAACATAATTACCTTGTTCAGAGTAATGTGCTCATAGCAATTGTGGGATGTAGCCTACTAATGTATTCTTCTTCATTCCTTTTGGGCAGCAAACCTCAGTGGCTTAAGAGGACATCCCACTTGGATGTCCTGTCCCCAGTCTACTCAAGTCCAGTAAACAACACCTAAAAAGAACACAACCTCTTTATTTTTGCTTGAGATACAAATGTTCTGTTTGGATGATGAGAATAAGCCAAGTACTGGAGACAATGGCTAGCTCTTCCTTCTGTTCCAATGAACTCCAATGGAGAGAGAGGCGAAACAGAATCTGCACTGTTTCAGTCCACTGATATCCAGCTTATCAAATCTGGTACTTGTTGAGCAGGACTGCCCCAATAAGGCTGGATATCATGACAGTTGAAGATGGAAATGGCAAATATGAAGAATTCAACATGTATATGCAGTTCAGTCTGATGTCTCTATATGTTCTCTAAAATTCCATATTTGGTCAGTGCTGGGATTGGGATCAGAGTGCTGGCCTATTTTTGTTCCACTGCTCTTCTGATTCTGCTTTGCTTATCTTTAAGAGAGAGCAGGTTCAGATCTCCTGGGAGCTGGTGGGGGCCATGCTCTTGGCAGCTTGCTGGGCTAACCAGTACTTGTATCTTTTAGTTTTGGGCCTCTCAAAGTTCACCACAGACATAGGCACTCTCACAGTGTCAAGCCCATTTACCTGAACACAAAACAACAGGAATCCTCAGAGATCAGTCAGGCAGATAAAGGCTAACACCACTCAATCCCAGTTTTCCACCCTGATTCTCCTCTCAGTCAGAAAAGAAGTATGTGAAAACACTCACCGTCACCTCACACCAGTACTCGCCCCACCGTGTGATAGGCCCTTCTGGTAACTTTAATGCGTGTGGGGCAACCACAACACCAAGCTGCAAAAAATCACAACCAAAACAAATTCTGTTTTCATGGCTGCCACTCTAGATAACCTCATAAAGGGGGTTCTAGAATTTCCTGTACAGGTATGAATACAACTGGGGAGTTTACTCTGGCTGATCCCATGGGAGGACACAGATCTCCATAGATGGTAGCAAAGAAACTCAGTCCTAATTTCTCAGAAAGGGAGATGGATTCACAAAGAGAGACAGGGCTTAAAATCCTTAATCCACAAACCTAACAATTCTCCAGCGAGTCACATATCCCCAGGTTTTTCCTAGCTAGAGAGAAAATAAATGGAAACCACCACCTTTTCCTGTCTGTCTTTAAATTCTTTGTGACCATCCTTAGTCTTTTAGCCATATCATTCCCACACTCCTACAAACCAAGAATACTACCCCTAACTTCAGCTGAATGATCCTGTTTCCACCCTCAGGGGTATAGTGGTGTTTGGGAACACTCACATTCTTGAGGAAGTGGCGGGCAACTATTTCAGGGTTCAGTTCCCATTTGACATTGTTCTTCATCCCCACCTCCAGGTGACAGCTTCTCAGAAATTTCACTGTCTGAAAGGAATTATAAATAGGGGCTGGGTTAGAGTTGGAGTCAAAGGAGAGGAAACATGTTAGCAAAAGTCACAAGGTCTGAGAGTTCAGGAAAAGGACATAATTTCTGCCTCATAGCCAAGACAACTGAGAAGATGAATGGGAAAGACAGAACATTCTTATTGTCTCAAGGCTGATCCTGTAGAAAGATATTTCAGAAATACTTTGTAGGAGGATGTCACCTATACCTTGCTGTTCCTAAATGAGGAGAAACAGGCCAGGTCTAAGTTAGAATAATCAATGAGAGACATCAGTATATCTCAGGATGGGACGACTTTCATAGACATTTTTTAAAAAAATTTTTTGTGACCGGTAAGGGGATCGGAACCCTTGGCTTGGCGTCGCCTGCACCACGCTCAGCCAGTGAGCGCACCGGCCATCCCTATATAGGATCCGAACCTGCAGCCTTGGCGCTCCCAGCGTCGCTGCGCTCCCAGCTCCGCACTCTCCCGAGTGAGCCACGGGTTCGGCCCTTTCATAGACTTTTTTAACTCTATACTTCTGGCGTTTCAATCCCACCCACACCCCATTAATGTTTTCTCCCTGTTTACAGAATGAAGTATAAATTAGTTAGCTGAGGATTCAAGATGTTCTGCAATTCTTGCCCCAATCCTCTTTCCAGCCATATGTTTTCTACTATAACAGTATATAAATCCTCTGCTTTAGTTAGACTGGCCTACTTTCTGTGTTAAAATATGTTAATTTCTACTTATACTTCTCCTCCCCCCCACCCTTTCTGGCAGCTGGCCAGTAAGGGGATCCAAACCCTTGACCTTGGTTTTACAAGGCTGTGCTCTAACCAACTGAGCTAACCCACCAGCCTTTTTCTCCCTTAAGTACACTTTTCCCATCCTCCCAGCATATCCAATGCCTATTAATCATACAAAGCCTAATTCAATCCCATTGGGAAAAAAGGCCTCCACAAAACCCATTATGGCCCATGGCACTGTTATAGTTTACTGCCTTGAGTTTACTGATCAACTTTTTTTTTTTTTTTTTTTTTTGTCTTTTTCGTGTCTGGCAACGGATCGCAACCCTCAGTGTCGCGCCCGTACCGGACCGGGACCGGCAACGGGATTGCAACCCTCGGTGTCGCGCCCGCACCTCTCTCAGCCAGTGAGCGGGAACCGGTCTGTATGTGGGATCCAAACCCTCGGCGGGAGTGCTGCCGCGCTCCCAAGTGGCGCACTGTAGCAGTGTGCCACCGGGCTGGCCCCCTGATCAACTTCTAATGTGTCTATGTTCTCTCCAACTTGGCTGTAAATATCCCTGAAGGCATAGCCCTTATTTCACACTTTTCCATGGGTCCCCTGATGACCAGATTGGGGCCTCCTTCAATAAGCTAGAAGATTTCACCGAACAGGTCAGGATCTCCAGAGATCTCCATACCAATTATGTGGGGCAGCCATAACACTTCCCCTTTCTCCCACCCTTGTGTCTTCAATCAGAAGACTTAAAGGATACCAGGGAGACTCTCCGGAAGAGATTGGTAACTCCTGTAAGTGACCAATAAATAAAGACTTTGTATGTTTCTACTCACCGCCTCACCTGCCTTGGTCTGGATCTTCTCTAATTTTCCTTCTTGTCTCAGCTGGAAAAGAAAATTAAAGATGAAAATAAGTAAAAGAAAAATGAGCCCATTTTAGTAATACCAAACTCTTACTATGCTGGGCATATGCTCAGCTTTTGGATTCTTGTACTTCTAAGCCCTTACTTCACTTTCAAATTAAATATCAAAAGTAAGAAAATTGCTAGAGAAAATTCTAAAGTTTTATCCCTTCAAGTCCCCCTGTACTTCTTTGAGCTCACCGATTTCTCCTTTTCAAAGAGCTTCTTGTTTTCAGGGGATGCATATACAGCCAGTCCCTGAGGCAGGAGGTGATTACGGCCCACAGATTTCTTCACTGAGATCAGGTCACCCCGGACTCCAAGTTCTGCCAATGAGAACAACAGAGACACTGGATTAGCACTATCTAGAAGTCACTAAGAAAAGATGATCAAAAAGAGAAGCAACACTCTTATTTTCTCCCAGTGCTTATTCTTTCTAAAAGAAATGTTAACTCATACTCACTAGGAACAACAATTAAGAAACTGCTAATTAGTTTCTTCACAACCTGATACAGAAACTTGGTATTCTCTGTATAGAGTGAAGAATTGTCCCATCAGAGGATTTCAGTATTTGTGGGACAAACTATCAGGCCTGTCTCCCCACACATCGTTAATGACGTTGCTGCCCTGGTGTTTTCATTTCCAATTCGGAGGTCAGTCTTACGATCACAGTACTTTTTATGGCTTACTCTTCTCACATACAGAACTGCTTATTTCCACAAAGTAGAGAAAGCACGGCAAACAGCAGGAAAAAGTTGATGCCAAACAGGACCCGCCTGAGATGAAGTACCTCGGCTGTGCCTTACCCTCCACAGACTGAGTGAGGATGAGCTCCAGATTGTCTTTTGGCCGGTGTTTCGTGTCCTCCACCAGCTTATAGACGCGGTGTCGCCGTTGCAGGCGCGGCTTCCTGCCCTCCCCGGCCAGTGGCACCTTCCACCAGCGCTCCACGATGACCGTACCCTGGCGGCCAGGAAAGAAACGTTGAGCAAGAGTCCACGGAAAACACTCTCCTCCCCCGGCTACGGCCGCCGGCACCACAGAGAAGGCCCGCTGCCCCCGGGCAGGCCCCTTCCGGTCTCAACGCGGCCCCAGGAACAATACTCGGGAGTAAAGAGCCCTATCAGGGTCAAGGACCCCATAACCCAGATCCGGCCCTCACCCGATTTTGAGAGAGGCTGAAGTCACGCTCCAGGCCGGGGGTGCCCCCTTCACGTCGGGGCCGAAGCAGCTCGCAGACTCCTCCTCTCAGCAGCCGCTCAGCGCCCGCTCGCAGAGCTCGGCCCGGGGCTGCAACCGTGGCCGCCGCCATGTTCGCGGGCACAAAGGGAGACCTGATGAAGGACCCGGGCGCCCGGCGGCAGAAAGGCCCTCACCGGGGCTGCCCACACCGCGCCTGAGCCGGAACGGCTTTGGTCTGGGCTGAGGTGAGGGGAAGAGCGGGGACGGGTTGGACGGCGGCTTCACGGCGTCACCAAGGCCGTGAGATAAGAGAACTGAGATAAATGTTTCATGATTCAGCATTTTCCTCACTCCTCTCATTTTATTTTCAGGCGGGGGGAGGGACGCCCATAATCATTGACAGATACTGATTGTTAGGTGGACTGACACCGAAAAGACACTGTCTTCCACTTGGTTTCACTTTATCTTTAAAATGGGGGCTTTGGTTTAGCCCTAGCTGCTGCCTGAGGTTACTTCTAATTCTGACATTCTATGATAACTAGATACTGAAGGAAGAAGGATGCTGCTCTTTTCCTTACTTTAAATCTACCTCAAAGTGATAGGATGGGATCCTTTGGAAAATTCTGTCGACCCCAGGAGTCTAACCCTTATTCATTACACTGCAGTATTTAAACTAATATTTAAAGAATTCTAAGTCCACAAGAGAACAGAAACTATGGTAGGGCTCAGACAGTTCTCTCTGTGGAGGGTCTTAGTACTGGAGAGAAAACCACTAAAATGGGCTGAAAGAGGGTCTGTTTGACAGAGGAGATTAAAGATGCCCAATGCATAATATTTGGCCCTTAGACTAATGAGTAGTCGCTCCTCCTAAATATACTTTCTTTACTTGGCTTCCAGGACACCAGTTTTGTTTTCTTCCTAATTCACTAGTCTTCTTCACACACTCCTTTGCTGATTTTTCCTTCTGTCCCCACTTCTTAGAGTGCCCCCAGGACTCAGTCTTTGGACCTTTACTCTTCTCAGTATACATTCTTGATCTCATCCAGTCTCGTGGCTTACAATACTACATACATACCAATGACTTCCAAATTTTTATCTCCATCCTAGACTTCTCCTATACTCCAGGCTTGAATATCCAATGTAGTGGGGAACCCTGAGCATTTTCTGATTGTTAAACCTGCCCCCTTCCGTTGGAGAAACTGTTTTAGAAATTTTGTGCTTGGCTGTCTTCATTACGAACTTTAGCTTCTGCAACCCAGCTTGCTTCCTGCACCCATGCAAATTAGGCTCCCTGACAAATGGACTGTGTCCCATAATCAGCCAATACGAATTAGCGGGGCTACATCCCTCACTTACATAAAAGGACCTGAATGGGAACTTGGGTGAAAAGTTAGGGTGGGAATTTTTACTATAAAGACTACCTCTTTCCTTTGTTTGGGGAGACATGAGCCTAATGCAAGCAATGAAGCGCTGTAACACCAAAAAGAGCTGACAACTATTAAAAGAGCTATAAAACCAACGTTGGTCTTGGATTCCTCTGTGTGAGCGCCTCGCAACACCAACTGCTTGTTTGTCATCTTCCCCTCATATGTCTAACGGACATCTCAAAGTTAGTATGTCCAAACTAAACTGATACCTGCCTCCCTCCCCCACAATTGCCCCACCTGCAGCCTTTCCTGTCTCAACTGATGGAAACTCCATTCTTTCCAGTTCTTGGACTCAACTCCTTTCTTTCATACTCCATCAGGAAATCCTGTGGGTTCTACCTGTGAACCACAGACAGTCCCTGACTTATGATGGCTCGACTTAACATTTTTCAGCTTTACCATGGTGCAAAAGTGATACATATTCAGTAGCACATCACTGAGTTACATGAAATTTCCCACACTTTACTATAAAATAGGCTTTTTGTTAGATAATTTTGCCAACTGCAGGCTAATGTAAGTTTTCTGAGCACATTTAAGGTAGGCTAGTCTAAGCTATGATGTTTGGTAGGTTAGGTATTTTAAGTGCATTTTCGACTTGATATTTTCAGTTTACAATGGGTTTATTGGATGTAACCCCATTGTAAGTTGAAGAGCACCTGTATTTTCAGAATTCAACCATTGCTACCACCTCCAATGTTCCCCCCTGGAATAATACACTTTCTGCTGGGTTAATGCAATAGTCTCCTAACAGATCTCCCTTTATTCTCTACAGCTTATTTATAACATACCAGTTAGAATGATCTTCTTAAAAGCATAAGTCAGATCATACCATTCTTACACCCAAAATGCTGCAATGACTTCCCCTTTATTCAGAGTAAAAGAAAAAGGCCACACAATGGTCCACAAGACCCTATATAATCTGGCACCATTAGCTCTCTTCACACTGCTCCACCCACAGTAGCCTCCTTGCTATTTCTTGAAAACACCAGGCACATCTCCTCCTCAGGGCTTTTGCACCGGCTGTTGCTTGTGCATGAAATGCTCTTATCCCCAGTTGCTGGCTTGGTTAACAAATTCACCTCTTCCAAATATTTGATTAAATGTTATATTTGATTAAATGTGAGGCCCACTTGGATCGCCCTATTTGTTACCGCAACCCTGCCCCATCCCGTTCACACTCTTGATTCTCCTTTATCCTGCTCTATTTCCCCCCATAGCATTATCTTCTAACATATTAAATAAGTTACTTATGTTTATTTTCTAGGTTTGTTGTCTCACTTTTAGAAGAAAATTTCCACAGGGCAAGAATGTACATTGTCACTGATGTATACCAAGCACCTAGAATGATACCTGGCTCATGGTAGGCCCTCAGTCATCATCTGTTGAGTGGATAAATAAATAAATATGCAGAGGTCTCAAACTGGTGGCCCCAGAACCAAATTTTGCTCACAATGTTTATTTTATTTATTTATTTTTTGGCACTGGCCAGTATGGGTGTCTGAACCCTTGACCAAGGTTATAACATCACACTCTAACCAAGCTAACCGGCTGGCCCCCACAATGTTGACTTTTTTTAATAATCAGTTTTTTTGAGTTAGTAGCCAACATTTTTTAGAAATTGAAGAAATTTAACAGAAAACTCCATCTTTCTGGTTTTTGCTCGCACCACCAAGTCTCCACTCCTGCATAGCAACTAAGTGGAGCTGAGCTGTGTGGCTTCTTTTAGACATTTTCTATTTTGCTATAGACCCACCCTGCAGCTCCACTAACTTCCATCAGCTGTATGGGCCCTGGAGGTGTTTAGTCAGCAATTCCCACCCTATGAGGCAACGAGAAAGTTCAGAGGCAATGAGAAAGTTCAACCATCTGTGGCACCCTTGGGTTAGCAAAGGCATGGATGATAAGAACATTGAACTGGGAGGAGCTGAGAACCAGCTACAGGTCAACACTAGATCAGGGCCTTAGAAACTTCCTGCAGTGTCAAACACCAATTCTCTAGTTGCTGAATTTTAGGAGAAGGGGAGTGTCCCAAAGGAGGGGCCCGGGTGGTGGGCATAAGCACTTAGGCAGGGCTACTTGCTAACCAGTACAGAAGTGTTAAAGTATTGTATTTTAATCACTGGTACAGCTGTAAAGTGCATACAAGCTGAGTGTGAACCTTGGTTAAGGGGGTAAGGCAAGGCAGGGGAGCAGGTGGGGTCCTGAAGTGACGTAAAGACTGACCCCTTGTCCATGTCATAGTGCTGCCAGGTCACAATGGCACCAGGTTGCCTGAACCCCTGCCACCCATCCCTGAACCTCACTTTGCCGCAGGGAGGCACTGAACTGAAAAACTGCCTTGTAACAGGGGTCGCCCCTCTACCTACTCCCTTTCTTATATCAAGAGGGGAAAAACACGGAACTACCTCTACCCGATCTGGTCACCATACGCCTATTACCTTTACTGTTACAAATACCGGATCACCCTCCGGGAGAAGATGCTGCCTTGTTGTTATAAAAGGTACTTGTTTTCATCTCTATTTGTGGTTTATAGACACTGTAAGGAAAAATAAACAATTTGAAAGAACTTCTCAAGTGGCAAGAAATGATAATAGCAAAATAGGGTGGAAGGCTGACATGGAACTTAAGAATTTTTCCATCTAGTTGGCCTGGGAAAATGGAAATAGGCTGGTCCACAGAAAATACAGAAGGTAGTGCCAGAACCTGGTCCTGTGTACCTGGAAGTTATGAATGTCTCCCTTTCTCAGATTCTGAGATAAACTATTATGGGTCTCTCTTTCCCAACCAGCATTACTTATAAGGAACAGGAGGACTTGACACTCCGGCCCCGTTCCTGTATCCAGTGCTCCTGAGTCCCTAGCAGGCCTCCAGGTGGGCAGAAACACCAAAGAGGGCAACCAAGACCAGCTTAAAGAACTGTATTCGGTAAGTGAACCATGAGCTGGTTCTGACAGGGCAGCTCCTTGCTTGCTGTAATACCTTGCAGTGGAGAAACGTTAGCTAGTTAGAAGATGAATCAGAAAGTTAGAGGTAGATGGGACCTTAGAGCTCATGTGTAAAAACTACTTTATAGACAAGGATTCTGGCCAAGAGATCTTAATGTCCTACTGGTAGTGAAAAGCAGGATGGGAAAAGAGAAAGTGGGAATAAAGGTAAAGCAGACTGTATAAGGACTTCTAGGACAGAAAGGTGTTTAGATGCTTAGCTGGGTCTACAATCCAGGACTCCTGCACTTGCCCTTGTACGAGTATCATATTGATATGCTTGGTTGTGACCTCTGCATTTTAAAAAGAAATGGGCAAATTTAGAGGCAATCCATATGATTAAAAAAGTGGACGAGTATTATTAGTGAGAAAGAAAACTTTAAACAATAAGCTCTCAAGGGCTGGCCAGTTAGCTCAGTTTGTTGGAGCATGGTTTTAAACCAAGATCAAGGGTTCAGAGAGCCTTACCTGCCAGCCACCAAACAGAACAAGCTCTCAGATATAAACATTTGTAAGTTTCTGAACGGTTAGCATACCCATCGGGGGGGAGGTTAGCAGGCAGGCAGCAAGTAATACTGCCTCAGCTCCAGACTACAGATTGTTTAGTATCAAGAACTCCATAACAGAGATGGCAATTAGTTCCTAGGACTACGGAATAATGTTGCATCTCTAAGGGCTTGGCTCCAATTCTCCCAGGTTTCCCCCATCAGCCCACTCCTTGCTTCTTCAGATGTACTCAAATTTGCCTGAGATCTGATTTGAAGACTAGATGAGCACAGAAACAGACTATATTACTGTATGTTCCTTTTTCAGGCTGGGAATCTGACGGTGCTGGCAACTGACTCCCTGTTCCACCAGAACCCAGTACAATTAGACTTTCACTTCCACCTCAGCCCCCAGACCTCTGCCCATTGGCACGGCCTTCTCTGTGACCATCGACTGTTCTTGGATATCCCATATCGTGCCCTGGATCAAGGCAACCGGGAAAGGTGACCAAGCCTGATGGGACAGTTGGGGAGGGAAGAGGCAGGGATTCCATCCTTTATCATGTCATAATCAGTAAATGGGGCTGATTCAAACCATTCAGCTGGCATGCAGACAAACCTGTGAGCTGAACCAGGATCTGGGGTTCAAGGAATAAGTCAATGGAAAGTTGCTGGATTCAAAACACAGAAGGGAGGACCCAGAAACAGTTTTCTGGGGTTCATCTTAATAGAGTACTCCTTTCTACCTAGACCCCTTCTGTGGCTTGGGCCTTAATCCTGTAGTATACAATCCCTTGGATTCAGAGAAAAATCTACCAAAACTGGTTTAGCAACTCTCATTTCCTGGCTTGGGAGGGTAGAGAGCAAAAACTGACCAATAAAGACTTCTGCTCCAAGTAGGTGTCTTTCAGGATTCGGAATTGGCAGAACATTTTGCTAACTGTGTTTTTCTCTCTGGTTCCTAGTTTGACTGCAACACTGGAGTATGTGGAGGAGAAGACCAATGTAGACTCCGTGTTTGTAAACTTCCAAAATGATCGGAATGATAGAGGTAGGGATCTGCTGTCCTTCCTTGTTCTTCATGCTGAGGCAGCTGACAGCCCCTTTTCCTTTGTAGGAGACCCTCTTCCACCTACTCTTTAAAAATGGCACCCTCAGGCATTTCAGGGATTCTTTTCTTCCCTCCCACCACAATGGAAATTAAGGCACCTAGCATTTTGTTCAGCTGTAAAAACCGGACTATCAGGAAGCCCCTGCAGGTGGTGTCAGAAGCCAGGCTGAAAGAATGAAATTACACAGAATCCATTCAAGGGATGTGATCAGCAAAACAGAAAAGATCTCATATATACTGAGCACCTGCAGCGTGAAAAGTTCAGGCAAAATAAGGCCAGGAGGATAAGATACCACTTCAGATTTTACTATGCTATCATTGTGTTAAGCACTTCATAAACATCTCACTTAGTCCTAAGTTCCCTGAGGCAGGTTCCATGACTCCCATTCACAAATGAGAGAACTGAAGTTCAGAAGGGTTAACTTGGAACACTACAAGTTGAGTATTAAAGCCAGGGTGGGAGCCCAGGTCCATCTGACTCCAAAGCACATCCTAACACCTGCACTACAGTGCTTCCCAGAGGCCACTCCCTCATGGAAGAAACAAGATCTCTAGAGGAATAGATTGAGCTTTAGTGTTCTAATCATTTGTTCTGTCCTTTCACAGGTGCCCTGCTGCGGGCCTTCAGCTACATGGGCTTTGAGGTGGTCAGGCCAGATCACCCTGCCCTCCCTCCCTGGGACAATGTCATCTTTATGGTATACCCCCTTGAAAGGGACCTTGGCCACCTGCCCAATGAGCCTCCCTGAATAGACTCATTCCAACTCTGTAAAGGGCTGCAGGCCTTGACACATGGGCCCCAAGGACCCAGGATGTGATTCAGGACACCTTTCTCCATCCTAAGAATAAAGGGTAGTGCAATCATCTAGTGTTTGTTTCTTGGGGGGCAAGTAGGGTTGGCTGGAATGGAACATGAACCTTACAGAGATGAATTCACTGTAGGATAAACTCTTAATGACTGAAAAGATCAGAGGCATCTGAACTCATGGGAAGGGACCTAAGGATTTTAGATTCCCTTTGCTCTTCCCCATGCCCCCAAATCATTATCTCGTTTATTCTAACCATTTACTGAGCACTTGCCAAGGCCAAGGCCCAACCAACAAGGGAGTTCAGAAACACTGAGGCTTGTTAGGATGTTTTCATCCATATATTTCAGTTCAAATTGTAGACAAGTGCTAATTCCTTCTCTCTGGATGTGGAGAAAACCAGAGATGTATGGATCCCTTGACTTTGGCTCAAGGGAAGGATCTTGACAAAATAAGAAATTGGAATGCCCTCTTCTATGCTACCTGACAGCAAGAAAAGTACTGGGTTTTACTCGAAGAATAAGGAACTCATCAGAATGGGAAGTAAACTGACAAGACTTAAAGGCCATATTAAGGGAATAAACTTATTACACAGTAACCAACTACAGGTAGGAATGAGGCACTACTTATTTTGTAAAGTGGGAAGTCCTATGAATGACTTACATGAAGGGATCACTATCTCTAAGAGTAAAGGCCCCTGAGGAAATGAGGACCCTGGGGATTAAATGTCCTCATGATCCTGTTGTACAGTAGCTCCAATTCGAGAGCCAGGTATGCTTCAGTGAGTTCACTGCAGCCAGCGTCTGAAATATAAGGTCAGTGGAAGCCTCTCATGGATTCCTCCAAGATAAGAAGCTACTCAGAGCTGCTCCTTTGCTAGAGCCTTTCTGCTACTTGGTACTGAGGTTTTTCTGAGAAAATAAATTTTGAAAATTGTGGTTGTAGGAAAACACAATTGCCATGTAATATACAGGTAGACTGCACTAATTCCTGGATTGAAAAAAGGACCTGCATTAGGCATCCTTATGGGCTAATTTTAAGTTTTCCAGTTTACCTTATTTGGATCTAAAAAAAAAATTCATTTCATCTGCCATTATTTTATCACCCCCCATTACTATACATTTATATTTACTTTTAAGTACCTTTGCAGTTCTCATTGGAGCCTTGAAATACTGTCAGAAATGGAAAGATACTGTAAGCAATCAGATTACCTAAAGTCTTACAATAAGTTTACAGTGGAGATATTATTCCTAAATTCCACGTTTCTAGAATCCTGATCCAGGCCTCCTCAGGTGGGGGGTCTTATTTGCACACCCTAAACATAGGTTAAGGTTTTGGGTCTTAGTGAGTGGTTCTGAAGTAACTTTAGGAAGAGAATATGGATATGTACATGGGAGGGACATCACCTGTTTAACGGACGGACCCCTTTATGTGAAATGGTTGGCAATTTTCACCAGATTTAGGCTCAGAACATATTTTACCCACAGGCCTGCTTTCACCTTGTGATTCAATCAGCATTTGGTTTTTGTATAATTTTCTTGAGAACTTTATTCAAAGAATCCCCCAAATGATTTAAACAGAACTATATATGTTCTTTTCTCTTTGGATGTATGAATACACGTACATTATAGATACCATACTAGCAATTTAGAGTATTTCCTGAGCTGCCTCCTCTCCTTTTCTACTTGCACTTTAAAGTTTACAGAAAAATAACCACAGCACTGTTTCAAAAACCTGTCTCCAATAACATCAGCAATTAAGGCTGGGAGGCGGTATTCTCTTCCCACTTCCTGAGGCTTTTTAATATAATTATGCTGGTTTTTCCTTTCCGTCTTGACTCAACTGAGTTCCCAATCTTTGAGTTCACCATTCAAACACTTCTTTTAATCAGAATCACCTGATGAGGTGAGTCAGAAGTCTGCAGAATCATCACTTCCAGTGACCAAACCCTGGCTGTTTCCTAGGCTCAAAAAGGACACAGCCTAGCAGTAATGTGCATGACTGGCAGAGGAGATTGAGCCTGACATTGAACAGCCTGGAAGTAACACAGCAGTATTCAAACACTGGAGGGCGGGGGAGAAGTAAGGGGTTGGAGTGAGGGAGAAGTACTTGTTTCCCTCTGCCCCATATTCTTTCTGGTAGTCCAAGGGAAGGAGAAAATGGATTTGGTCCACAGCAAGCCAGACCATTTGTGTAATAAAGGAAGAACTGCATGGATCTCCTTATCATAGACTCCTCTCTCCAGGTACCAAATCCTGTGCCAAATCCTGCCAAAGACACAAAGAGACAAAAAGCTTGAAAGGGCTCAATCTGAGAGCAAGTTAAGCTACAGGAAATCGGCTGCAAAGAAGTATATTAAAATAGGGCATGGGGAAGAGGGAATAATAAAGCAAGGCCCCTGTAGTCACCCTCATTACTTTCCTGTTCATACAGATAGATAGCTCCACTCACACAGCAAAGCAGACGGCTGAGCCAGCTGCAGCCCAGACTTCAGAGTAAGTGGTCATCTTCAAGGTTATCATCACCAGACACAGAGGCAGCTTCTATGGAGCAGAAACGAAGAGGAGAAAGTTAGACATTGTCCTATGTAGCATGCACTGCCAGTGAGGCTCAGGATAAAAATGGGCCTCTCAGTGCTCAATGACCTAGGAACCAAGGCTTTAACCTCCCTAGTTTGGAGAGACTGATGGTCTAGGGAGAAAATGCTGTTTGTACCTGATAAGCTGAGGCAGGACGGAGTATGTGTTATCTCTCCAGGACTCTTTTTGGTCTCATTGAGCATGCTGCTGAGAGAGGCATTAGTTTCTGTGGCCTGAGGAGATGAAAAGAGAAAAAGGAAGACCATGTGTGCTGGTGGGAAAGGAGAAGCCACGCTGTTACTTTACTCATAGGATCTGGTTAAGGCAGTTGAAGTTGGCTGCCGCTAGAGACACAATACCTCCTTTGATCAATTAGTGGAGAAAGAGTCCTTAGGAGAGCTAAGAAAATATCAAGACTAGAAACCCTCATTGTCTCTCTATGCACTAAATTTGCTCAGAAGCAGCACCCTGAATAACTACAATGGCTCACTTACCACATCTCTCAACATGTCTTGGACAGTTCTGTTTTCTTCCATGTCTTCAGGAAGCTCAATTGCATATCCTTTACGAACTAATTCTAGCCCAATATCAAGTTTCTGAGAAGAAAAATGAAAAGGGAATGATGTTCTCTCTGTAAGGAAGGGCAAGTCTGAGCAAACAGAGCAGAAGAGCTAGGATTGATGCTTTAAAGGCATCCCTTTTGTGGGATGGTGAGCAAGAACTTACAAAGTAGGTGTAATATCGGATAAGGGTTTCTGGGAAAGGAAAAGTAAAAGAGGCTATGAATACAATTAAGACAGAGTGAGGAGTGAGTGAATCTCAATCTTACCTTTCCACTGCTAGTATCATATAAGTAAATCTTTGGCCAGGTTGAGATGCCAGTGTGGACGTAGCTAGAGATCTTGGCCACCAAGGGCTTCCAATCAGCACAGTGAGTGAGTCTCTCAAACTCATCCAAAGCTTCCTCTTCCCATTGTTCACCTGGCAAAAGATTGTAAGGGGTGCCTCAGAAGAGGTCAGTGCTGACAGGGGTGGGGATTATACCCTGGAGGGAAACTGGAACTACCCCTTTCTACTCAGGAAGGCACTTATGTCTTCTCTGGTGGGTTTGGGTCTGCCAGGCAAGTTTCTGGCTGTTGCTCTCTAACACTGGTGAGAAAAAGGCATCTGAGCTCCCCGAACACAAAAAGCCTGGGAATGTGGGAATTCCTCCCATGTGCTGCATGAAAGTTATTCTATTCAAAGGCAAGGTCAATAGGCCTTGTGACCAATTTACCTGAGGGGGCAATCCGTGCCAGACTACACTCTATTGCTTGAAATGGAAGGCTTAGGAAGTCACTCCTAAAGTGAAAGAAACTGAAATTAAAATCCTAGGGCCAGAAGGGCCTTCTTATATTCCTTGCTTTTAGACAAAACCAATTGACAAGCATAAGATAATCATCTGCTCTCTGTAAACAGGTTCCCTTCCAAATTCCCCTGGTGATGAGTGCTAACAGCACACCACTCCACGGCCAGGGCTGAGTCAACAGTTGGGATTCCAGCTGTCTCCACCCTGGCCTCCCCACTGACCTGAGAGCCCTGAGGTCCTTTAGTGGGCAATCTCCATTATCTCCAAAGTCAACAAAGTAGAGGTCTAAGTTCCCATTTTCCAAGGTCCCAAGTACTTGGGCTCGATACCAGGAACCGTTTGTAGGTAAAGGTGCTGCTACAATGTCTCCTACGTGCACAATCAAGTCTTGAGGCTATACATGGGGGTGAGGAGTCAGGAGGGGGTAGAGTTACAAAGTGGTAAACTAATAAACAAACAGGGAAAACCAGAAGGAAGAATGAACGAGTAACTGCCCCACAGGAAAAGGAAGATAACATATTACAATGAAAAAGATATGCCCCTTTTTCATCAAACCCCAGCTCTGTCTCTATGGCAACTCACCAGACTATTCTCATAGTACTGGGTCATCTCACTGACAAGCTTATCCAATTGCAGGCTGCGGAAGCCAATGATTTGGATCCAGAAGTGGTTAGGGTGTTCAGAAGCAGAGACATAGACTTCTAGGTACTCATCAGCATGAAAACTGAAGTCAGGACTGGGAACTGAACACAGGGATAAGATGGTGGTCATATCAGAACCATCTCTGGCTGAAATGGGGAGACTGCATCAAGGAGGTGAGAGGTACAAATACCAAGTGGCTGTTACCATATTTAAAATGGCTGGAAGGACAAATGGATGATTCATAAAGAACATTCTGTAGAAAGGTTATGAAACTATCTCTTGTACTTTTCTATGTATCTGAGTAACATTCTTAGTCATATGCCATGTATTTAAGTCAGTCACCAATTATAATAAAGGTAAATCCTCCATACGCTAGCTGCAGCATGGATCAGCAAAAAGGTATGGGCCTGTTCTAGATCCCACTCTACTGCTGATTCATTATGTGGCCCTGGACAAGTCCATGAGCTTCTTGGGAGCCATGGTCATCTCTGCCCATGCTAGTACCTATGTACAGAAGAGAAAGCTCGTGGCATTTTTAATCTTGAATAATGATTTTTAAATACAGTAATGAGACAGAAAAAAAAATCAGGCTGAGAATTTTACTCATTTAAATTTTACTTGTCTAAATTTTACTTGTTTGGAAGAAGAATATCATTTACTTATTTGGAAGAATATTTGACATATTACTCACAAACTAGTTATCTGTGTCAGCACATTTCTATCTCATTTCCTTTATCATTAGCTTGTTTATATTTGGAAAAATATTATTTATTGTTTAGTATTAATCCAAATGAGATACTAACAGCAAGGCACATCTGTGATGACACACGTATAAGCACAGTCATGAAAAGAAATTTTTTATTGCTTCCTATTTTGGGTCATCTAAGATAGTATTTCCATCTTCCATACAGTTAACGGGTTCTCTCTTTGTTACATACTTTCAAACATGGACATCTCTGAACTGGCCTGAGCTCCAGACTTTCGAATGCTGTCATCATTAGGTTTCTCCCAGGAACCTTCTTTTGGTCCTACCGCAGCCATGTCGCCGCCTCCTTTGCAAGGAAGAACCACCAGGGGTGTGGCCTGCTCCATGCTAGAACTGGTGCTATTCCATAAAGTTGGCTCTCCAGCATCACCTGGATCTGTCATTTCCTCTCTTCTCACACTGATTGGCTGCTTGCGTGGGACTCTGGTTTCTACAGAGTGGGCAATTCTCTTCCGAAGTTCTTCATCTTCTGAAACTTTCTCCAGTATCAAATGCTGGGGAAAATTTAAAAAGGGATGTTATCTATGTGGACAGATATTCTGACCCAGGATGGAGTAAAGGGTTCTTTTCATTCTTAGGGACAATTCAAAGTCTATCAGCTACTTGCCTTAGCTGCTGTCACTTCCTTCTGTGTTCCTGAGATTTTTATAAGTCTTGATAGTAGTAATGTCCCCTCTGATTCTCTGTCACAGGTAATCTTGGCTCCAGAGGCCTTACAGATAGAACGAATCGTCTCACCGCCTCTCCCTACATTGAACAATACATAAAAATCTGTCCTTCCCTCCTGGTCAACCTTAACAACTACAGAAGTCAATATTTTGTATATAATAGGAGAAGGGAGACAGTTTTCATTTCCAAATTAAACAGAATGTAAGATGTTGAATGGAAAACAAGAATCCTGAAATCATTACTGTAGGAAAGAAAATAATGGATTCTTTGCTTTAGCAAATTTAAACTCCACACTTTGGCTAGGTTAACTTCATGTCATTTCCATTTTTTGACCACTCAGCAAGGCCATACTTTGTATCTCCAGCTCTCAAGAAGATATGCTACATGGTGTCAGAACACTGGACCAAGGATGGGACATTTCTCTGCCTCCAACAGCAGCACTAAGGAATGATCTAGGGGAAAGCATAATAGGCGGTCTCTACAGCATTATCTTGAAAGATCTGGGACAACATGAGCATCCCTAGTTTCCCTTTAAAAATCTTATGAGATTTTAAAAAATCTGTTTTGAGGTAAATACAAGTATTCTCCAAAAAGTTCGTGGAAAAATAGAATTGAAAGATAAAAAAGTTCATTGGGGGCCGGCCTGTGGCTCACTCGGGAGAGTGCGGTGCTGATAACACCAAGGCCACGGGTTCGGATCCCATATACGGATGGCCGGTTTGCTCACTGGGTGAGCGTGGTGCTGACAACACCAAGTCAAGGGTTAAGATCCCCTTACCGGTCATCTTTTAAAAAAAAAAGTTCATTGGAAGTTTCATGTTAAGTACCCTTGTACATTTACCAGAATGCTTCTTGAATCTATTTGTAAGGTTCACATCACACAACTTCCTGAGCTAATGGGTTTTATTTTACCTCAGTTCTATAAAAAGGTAAAGCTCTGGTCTCAATGTCCCTGTCTTTTTTTTCCCCCTCAGCAGGGTGAAGGGGCACTAGGCCAGAAAAAACCCTTGGGAAGGTATGAAAGAAAAGGCAAAGGTAAAGAATACAGGAAACAGCAGAGGAAGCCATCCAGTGGTACCTATGATTCTGCCCACAGATCTCTGGGGAACTGAGAGTTGCTCAGACACCAGGGTATTCTCTGTCAGGATCTGATGAATTGCTGCTTTGGCCTTGCACACCTGAACAGGAAAACCACTGATAAGAAGCACTCGCTCATCGCCTACATTTTCCGTGTCCACATCAATCCGAGCACCTGTCTGTTTCCGCAGCTGCAGAGAAAAGGATACGTGGCAGTACATTCTGGGAGAGGTTCCATTTGGGCCTGGCTAAGGACACTCTAAACCAAACTCTGGAGGAATATGGAGGTGGCCAAAGGCATCAGCTGATCAAAAATGCTATAATTGGTCCTCAATTACCTGTACCTATGGAAGGAGATTAGTAACAAAGGTAACTCCAAATTGCAGTTATTTCAAAACCATTCCATCATTTTATTTGAGTAGAGAATGAAATATTTTGTTTTGCCATTTCAACTGAACAATGGAAAATGATAAGAGCCAAGCAATTAAATATTTACTGTCAATTAACAGGAGGTTCATTAATTCCATAACAGAATAGTTCAAGTTATACCAAGCTGACAATTACTCACTCTAAAACCCCTATTTCAAGTGAAGTCATCCATTCTCCAGGGAATAGAGGTACTTTCCTCTAGAAGTAACAGCACAGTTAGCAAAAAAGTTCCTGTAGTTTTTCTTTTTAAAATATACATAGCATGGGTGTGTTTTATGATATCGGGTCAGAAGAAGGAAATGAGTCAACAAATAGAATCCCTGGGAAAGCCGACTGCCTGCTCACACACTTACCTGTTTAATATTGGCTCCTTGCCGGCCAATGATGAGCTTCACAGCCTCCTGGGGAACCCGCATCTCTATCTCGATGTCATCTTCCCCAACAAATGTTAGCCGCTCTTCTGCGCAGGTCATGGTTTATCAGACAGACTTCAGATAACACCGAAAGCTACCACTAGCCCTTCCCCAAATTCTGGCTGTCAAAGAGGCACTGACCCAAGAGATAAACTGAGCATCTCAATCATAGTGACAAGGAGAAGTAGCAGTGGGAATTAGAAGGTCTCAAAAGACCAGGGATGGGTATTTTCTCTGGGATACTGTTTCAGATGCTAAAATGGGAAAATCAGACTGTGAAGAAGAGGTGCTGAGTTTGGGGCAAACTGCTTCTTCTAAGATAAGACTCCTAGAGTAGAATGAAGGCCAGAAGTTGCCCCAGGCATACATTAGGCTCAGAACTTCTGACTGATTTGTACATAAAATCATTTTTCCAGGTCCAACGTGTGGGAAAACTGCCTTCTCCTAACAACTAATTAGAGAGAAGGCACATATAAAAAAGATAAGATATAGATATTTAAAAAACCCATTGCTACATTAATGTTGCTGAAGGAAACACATCAACAGAGTTATGAGTTCATTTCATAGACTAGCTTCACAGTAAGAACATAGAAAAGATAAAAACCAAACAGTTTCAAAGATTCCTCACAGAAAGCCAATCACATCCCAACAAACAATACCATCTGGCAAGGAGTTTTCATTTCAACTTAACAAGGCAGAAACTTAGTCTGAACATTTTCATATGCACAGCCATGTGGTTCACATACCTCTGCTTTCCCTATACCTGCGGTATAGGATATAGGCAATTGTTGCACTGGCTGGGATCCCGAGGCCCAGGGCTATTTTCTGAATAGTGGACAAGCTTGTCCAAGAAGTCCTTTCAGTGGACATTTTCTGCTGGTACTCCTACTTACATCCTGAAATAAGCAAACCAGGGAAAAGCAGCTTTCACCCAACATCTGTATGACTGGCAGAGAGGCAAGGGAACAGTGTTGAAAAGAATACTACTGCCTATTTTCCCATTTCAAGAGCTTCAGCAATCTCAAAATCTATTTCATATAAAAGATCTCAAAGTATTTTTAAAAAGTTAGCTAAGGGACACATACAACTAAGTAGAGACTTACCTCACTCCCCACCCCACTGAACTATACATTGATCACAGTTTTAAAAGACAAAGACACAAAAAAATTATTAAATGAATCAAATATTTTAAAAATATATACTTAGATTTTATATAAAACTGCTTAAAATCCCTTATCTAAGTCTTTCTATGCCTCCTGGCCTTTCCAGAAGGTGTTGTCTTTGCAAGGAATGCCATTCCAAGCATAGTAAAGTTCTTCATGCTACTTATCTTTCTTGGAAGTGTAGTGTTCATTTACTGTCTCTACTTTTTTTATTTAATCCTCAACCAACTATGAAATGGGGTTCTGTCCTGCTCCTTCACCAAAACTGTACCTTTGCTTAAGGATAAATAAATGTAATTTATGCTATAATTTGCCTCCAGCTACAAAAATTCAACCCAAATAATTATAATACATAAAAATGTCTTTCACCTTGGGGGAAAAAAACCAAACTAGTTGTATCCTAGTAAGGCTAAAAACATACTCATTAATATTTAATGAGGACCTACTCTGGAATAAAACCTTGGTTCTACACATGCTTTCCCTGAAAGCCTATCAGGAAGAGGGAAAGGAGACCCAGCAGAGAAATCTCATTCTAAGCAGCAGATACAGTCAGGTAAGGAGACTGGAGGTGAATTTCTTATTACTGCCATACGGACAACCTGAATTTGCATCTGGTCTCAAAGAGCTTTACTGATCAGTAGAAGTGAATAAGGTTCTTCAGAGAACTACAGGAAATCTGCCAAATCTATTTTTTTCTAGCCAATAGTTTTAAACAAATTTAATCCACCCTCTCAATCAGACTCGTGCTCTGGAGGGGAATAAAAAAACCTTATTTTGGTGGAGATTTCAAGTGTCTCATCTATTCCAGGCAATTAGTTACTCAATATACCCAGTATATCGCTTTTAGAGACTGATCAAGGTGAGAGAATACTACTCCTCTTCTCCCCCACACTTTTTTAGGGGGTAGGATGGGAAGGATTTTTATCCCCAATTCACTGGATAAAAATCAGCTTTTTTGAAAAACGGACTCCAAATAAAATCTTTCACTACTGTGATAGTTTAGGTGGTATCATGTAAACACTTTTGTATACACCAAAGGAAAGGAAACAAGTTCCATTTCATAAAGACTTTTTGCTTAAAGAATTCTTGCACACATAACCTCCAAACTGCTACTTTCCTACACTAAAGGGTGGCTTATTCCAGGTTTCTAGAAAAGATTTGATGACTTTTATCTCCTAGTTACTTCATATATCTTCCCAGATGGTCTCTAAAGTACAAAGCTTGTCTTCATTATTAATGTGGCTCGTTAAGTAATGCTAGTTCTTTGATGTGGGCTGAGTATACTGGGGACAGGAGAAATAAGAATTCCTGCTCTGAGACACACAATCTAGTAGGAAAGATAAACAAAAACATGTAATTACATGGCAATGCAAAGACAATATGAAGTCTTGGTCAATGCAACAGTAGGGAGGAGCTAGAAGTTAAAAGGTTTATTTCTTAGATGGCACATAGTTGAAAACCATCTCATTAAAATGACTCATTTATCTGCTGCATTCAAACCAATAAATATTGAGTACCTGATGTGTGCTTGGCCCTTGGGAGAGAACAGACAAGATACAAAATTAAGTAGCTACCTTCACGGAGCTTCCCGTCCTGCAGGGAAGGTCTTGATAGGCAGGAGTCTGTAAGTGTTCAAGATTTCAGAAAATGGAAATAAATGTATCCCTATGAACAAGAGCAATAACTTGCTCTGTATTTTAATGCTGTCTGCCTTTACCACCACCTTTCTGGCCATAATTCACATGTATGGGGCATAGAAATCATAGAATTTTAGAACTGGAAGGGACCACAGAAATTGATTCGATTAAAATGTAGCAACTGGGGAAACTGAGGCTCTCGGATATAAAAGGATTTCCCTAAGGTAACACAGCTAATAAAGTTATTTCTACACAATACAGTGTGCAAGGGAAAAAAGACTGCTTTAAAGGGCAATCATGGGCCAGCCCGTGGCTCACTCGGGAGAGTGCAGTGGTGATAACACCAAGGCCATGGGTTCGGATCCTATATAGGGATGGCCGGTTGGCTCACTGGCTGAGCGTGGTGCTGACAACACCAAGCCAAGCGTTGAGATCCCCTTACCAGTCATCTTTAAAAAAAAAAAAAGGGCAGTCATAATCGCACCGCTTTACAAAAGCTCAAAGGACTAATACCATTCTTTTCCCTCTAGCTCTGAAAATATAAGGATCAAGACAAAAGGATACCTAATATTCTTGTTGCTCTTCAGCCAACCTGTCTCCCCCACCACCCAAATCCTGACACCCTACACTAGGTTGGGTTTTGTTGCTATAGGCTTCCATAGTATTCCAACCATTCCTTCATAACACACACCATGCTTGTAAAGTCTTAATTAACGACTTTCTCTGTAGTGAGGAGAATGAATTGAAGGAAGCAGGGTACAGAAAGACCAATCAGAGACGGGTCGAGGTGTCAACGATGGAAGAAGTAGATGGATTAGAGTTTTAATAAGCAGAATACACAAGACTTAGCAATCGATTTATGGAAAAGCAGAGGGCAGAGCCAAACAGCTGGCTATCAAATTTCTGGTTTAAGCACGTGGTATACAGTGGTGTTTGAGATAGAGAACATTGATGATTTGGTGGTGGATGGAGTGTGTGTCCCAGGAAGATGAATATCTATGACGAGGATAAATCTGTTGGGCGACTTCTATATGAAACAAAAGCAAAATTTCACTAACTCCTCTTTAGATATTACAAATGAATTTGTGCTTATTATCAACTGATGTCTCAAAGAATGAGTATCTACTTGATTCATAAGAATAGTTTTGTTTACCATTTGCATATCCTTTCACAGCTATAAGTTTCCCTTAAATAAAAGTGGGAAATAATGGTGGAAATGGGGATAATTTCATAGCACTGAATGCTAGTTTGATTTTATTATTTAAAATTGAATGGTCTGTCTGCAGAGAGGAGGCTAAATAAATACTGAATAGGAAGGGAGAAGAGACTAGAACTTACGGTCATAGTTCCTGGGGAAGCTAAGAAGAGACGTGGATCATTTCTGAGTGTGAAATGTAGCTAGGTAATGGCTTTAGTAAAAGCTAACTCTGAAATTTCCTGACATTTGTATTAGACAGTTGCCAAAGACGACCTTATATGCATAACTAGTCTTATTTTTATGTTATCATTTCAAAATATTTGTAGCAGTTAAATCACACTGTGAGCTCCATGCCGGTAAGGATAACTCATTCCAGTATCTCCTGATAACCAGAACCTACAACGTAAATAAAACATGGTAACCTGCTTATAGAATTGAAGCACCTCATACGTTCTCATCCTTGGTACATTTCTTTTAAAACCGTGAGTAAAAAAAGGCCTCAAGCCATTCTCTCAAGTTAAGGAAAGGATCTAAAGTTCAGGCTTTGAAATGGGGGGTCTTCAGCCAAACCCCATAACGATACCTGCATTAAAGAATAAGGAGAGAGATTGGAAAAACAAACAAAAACCCTAGTGTATTAGTGCGACGACTGTAAACAGTCATCCTATTGCAAATAACTAAAGAAAAAGCTGGGGAAAGTAAAAGGCAAACTAACTCGGGGCAAAGTGTCTCTCGCACCGGGTCCGTTGGGGCCTAACCCTAGGACCAAAGCATCTCCTTTGGATGCAGCTACTAGCCCCCGCCGGGAAAGCTACCCCCAAACAGAGCCTCGGAGACCGGGGCTCTGGAACCCGCCCTGGGCCCCACACCCGCGCCTCGCCCCGGCGCGTCGGCGCCTCCCTTCCCTGGACCCCGCATTTCCGTCAACCACTGCCCAGCCTCTCCCACTCCCCAAACCTCCGCTCTCGATCCCCGCCTTTACCGCTCCTCCCAGAGTCAGCCGTCGCACGCCCCACCTCACGCCTAGCTCCTCGCGCCTCGCACCTCCACACGGCCACCCCCGCCACCTCCCACCCACACAGCCACGCCCAGCCCTGCGGGAGGTGCTTCAGCCGCTACTTCCCCGCCCCCGCAGCCCGCCCGCACCAATCAACGCCCCATTCGCAGTCGGACCAATCGCCTTTCCCGCCACAACCAATCCTTCCGTCGGCTGCCTCTGAGCGACGGGGCAGCTGCATGCTAATTCCCAATTACCCGGATGGAATCCAAAGCCGGCCCACCCTGTCAGCCAATGAGGTCCCGGAAAAGGCGAGGTTGTTCATCGGGATCGCACCTGCTGGGAATTAAACAGCCAAGTTACAAGCTTCACGGAGCTGTCACTCAGCCCGCCGCTAGGCTAATACCGAGGAGGCTTCCGCCTCCTAAACACTGGGGGAGAATCAGCGCTCCCGAGGTTGGGACCAAGGTGCGAGGGGGTTGGGTATCATTCACTCATGCTTGTAACCGCTCACACAAAATTGGCGCCTTTGTACCAAGCTATTGCCACTCCACAGCCTCGTGACCGCAGGAAAGCAGCCTCGTGATGGGCGGTGCTCCACCGCTTGTTTCTCTTGGGATCTTTTGCCTCGGTCGGTCCCCCATGTTGTGACAGGGGCTCAGGAGAAATGAGAAAAAAATAAAAAATAAAAAATAAAAATTATGAACTAGGCTTCGCAGATGGACAGAAGGTCGAGGGGAAGGCCCTGAAACGCAGAGAGCGAGGACGCACGCTTCTATTCCTGGGCCGAGGCATGAACACACGGTGCGGGAGAGGTGGAGATGGGGCCGGAGTTCCGACCGTCGTGGTAAGGGGGCTGCGGCTAGTGCGGGCGTCAGGGGCCCGCCCTTCCCCGGGGATCGAGGGAGGCAGGTCGGGGCGGAAGGCGAAGGCCCGAGCCGGGGGGAGCTGGGGGGGCGTTTCTGGGGGTGGGTTTCTGCAGGCTGCGGTTTGCTTTGGAAGATAGAATTCCAGCCGTCGTCCCCGGGGGTCGGGGGAGGCAGGTCGGGGCGGAAGGCGAAGGCCCGAGCCGGGGGGAGCTGGGGGGGCGTTTCTGGGGGTGGGTTTCTGCAGGCTGCGGTTTGCTTTGGAAGATAGAATTCCAGCCGTCGTCAGGGTCGCTGGACCGTTGAGAACGGTTGGGCCCTGCGACCTCCTCACGAGCCGGGCTCTGTGCCCCCCTCGGTCCCCCGCCTTCCACTAGGGGCTCATCCTGGAGACAAGGGGTCGGGTGCTCCTTGTCGTTGGAAGATCTTCCGCACAATGCCTGGCACGTGATGAGCTCTCAATAAACGTTTGTTTGAATTAACGCAACTCTAGATTGTATCTTTGGTCAGTTAGGGAGATGCCTTTGGGTCTCAGTTTTTCGTTTTCTCTTAATTAAAAAAAGTATGTGTTTTAAATAAATAATAAATGCGCATTCTACAAAATTCAGAAGGCGGGCTGGCGGGTTAGCTCGGTTAGAGCACGTGTTGTTAACACCAAGGTCAAGGGTTCGGATTCCTGTATGTACCAGTCAGCTGCCAAAAAAAAAAAGGAACAAAAGGATATTACAAGTAAATGTCTCTTTTTCCTTGAGAGGCAATCAGTGTTACTAGTTTCTTGTGCATTTTTTTTTACAAGATATTCTGTACTTAACGTATGTATATATTTTTACCTGGTTAATAACACACTACACGTACTATTTTTTTTTTTGTCTTTTTTCGTGTCTGGCAACGGATGGCAACCCTCAGTGTCGCGCCCGTACCGGACCGGGACCGCAACCCTCGGTGTTGCTCCCGCACCTCGCTCAGCCAGTGAGCGGGAACCGGTCTGTAAGTGGGATCCGAACCCTTGGGCGGACTATCCAGTGCGCCACCCGGCCGGCCCTACACGTACTATTTTGCAACTTCCTTTTATATAGTCTAGAAATCTTTGCATGACAGCACGTGATCTGCCTCACAGTGATAGTTTCATAGTGTGCCTGAGGGATATAAGATATCCAGTCCTTTAACATTATATTGATATGCAAGCATACTTCATTCCACTCTTCTATGAGTATATTTGTATGATAAAAACTTAGGGATGCAAATAACAGGTTAAAGAAGTGTGTGCATTGGTTTTTTTTTATTTTTTTTTATTTGGACATATGCACTTTTGCAAATTCCCTTCCTCCCAAAATGATTTTTCTAATTTTCATTTCATCTGCAATGTTTGAGAAAGATTTTGGTAAGTATAGTATTGCCCAATTGCCTTCCACAGAAGTTTTGCCAATTTTCTCTCCCATCAGCAATGTCTGAAAAGGACCGGTTTGCACACTTGCACAGTGTTATCAAACTTATTGTTTTTTGACAGTCTGATAGTGTAAACGGTATCTCACTGCAATTTTAATATTCATTTCTCTTATATATAAGTTTGAGAATCTTTTAATATGTTTAAGTGACAATTGCACTTTTTTGGTAAATTATCTGCTTATATACTTTGTTCATATTTTTATTGGTTGTTGGGTCTTTTCTTAATATTTGCTCTTTGTATGGAAGTTAAAAATATTTTTTCCTTTTCCCAGTTTTCCCTATGTCTTTTTACTTTGTTTGTGGTGATTTTTTGCTATACAAATATTTTTTATTTTTACATAAGTGAATTTATCAACATTTTCTTTGATAACTTCTGGATTTCACACCATATTTAGAAAAGGCTTCCACTACCTAGATCATTTTAAAAACTCCTATGCTTTATTTAAACACTTTTGTACTATCTTTTTGTGTATGTATTTGATTCATCTGGAATTTATTTCGGTGTAAAGTTGTGAGCTAGGGATCCAACTTTACTTTGTTTTATCCAATCTTCTTATTCAAAGACCCCATATTTTCTCCTTTTTGAATGCTGCCTTTATGATACACAAATCGCCACATGTATTTGGTTCTATTTCTGTATTTTTCACTTTGTTCCATTGATATGTCCATTCATATCCTACCATACTGTTTTTTTTAAAATTGATGTACCTTGTGTTTTTTACCACAATTGAAAAATTAATGTACAATATACATGCAGAAAAATGCACAAACGATAAGTGTACATCTTGATGAATTTTCAAAAGTGGAATACATTCATGTAACCAGCACCAGGTCAAGAAACAGAACATACCAGTGCCCCAGAAGCTGTCCTTGTTCCCTCCCAGTCACTACTCCCTTCAAGGATAGCCACTCTTCCAACTCCTAATACCATAAACTAGTTTTGCCTGTTTTTGTGTTTTATATAAAGAGAATCACAGAGTATATACTCTCTTGTCTGGCTTCCTTTGTTCAAATTATTTCTGTGAGATTCAACCATATTGTTGAGTATAATTTTAGTCCATTCATTCTCATTACTGTATATTATTGTACTATGGGAATACACTATAATTTACTTTTATGTCCTACTGTTAATGTTATTTTGATTGGAATCACATATTTTCAGATTTCCTTGGGGAGTATTGTTGTCTTTATGATACAGAATCTTCCCATACATTTAAATCATTGATGTCCCATCAGTAGCATTTTAAAGTTTTCATTCATGTAGAGTTTACATTTTTCTTGTTAAGATTATTTCTAGGTATTTGAGTGCCTCGATTGCTATAACTAGTTTTACTTTTTATTTTTAATCTGGCGGCTGGCCAGTTCGGTGATCTGAACCTCTGACCTTTTGTTATAAGGCTGTGGTCTAACCAAGTGAGCTAACTGACAAGCCCTATTTTTACTTTTTTTTTTTTTTTTTAAAGATGACCGGTAAGGGGATCTTAACCCTTGACTTGGTGTTGTCAGGACCATGCTCACCCAGTGAGCTAACCGGCCCTCCCTATATGGGATCCGAACCCACGGCCTTGGTGTTATCAGCACCACATTCTCCCGAGTGAGCCATGGGCCAGCTCCCTATTTTTACTTTAAAAAAAGTAAAAAGTATCTGAAAATAGTTCAAAGCCAAGGAAGAATGTCCAGTGTTGCTGTAAAAAGCACAGGTCTACTTTATGGGCCCTCATCTTCCAGCTCCAGTGGGGGTGGGGGTGAGCAAAAAGGAGGAAATGAAGTGGAAGTCCAAAAAGGCATTAAAAATTAAACCACAGGAGGAATTTCTTAATCAGAGCAGTGAAAAGCAGGTGAAATCACTTTTCCTGGAAAATTTTAAAAAGAGGGTTGACTTCTGACTGGGTGTAGAGAGGCTGGGGGAGTTTAAGATATAACTTTAGGTGAGGTGATTCCAAACTCACTCTCAAGTCGCTGTGCATTTGGGATTTGTCATGTCTTTTCCCCTCTATGAGCCCAAATCAGGATTGAAAGGTTGAGTTGGGATTGGGTGAATTGGGATTGGGTGAATTGTAATTTCTTTATTCTCATCTCCAGTTCCTAAGAGTCTATTCTCTTTCCTTCAGGGGTGTTCTGAACAGGCAGCAGGAGGCAGTAGATGAAATGAGATAACATGAGGTCTGAGTTGCCCAGAGAGTTCAGTGAACAGGTGTTTCCACTCAAGAAGCCAAAGCAGAGATGTAGTCTTTGGCTATAAGTCTGGGCAGTGAGGGGTTCTCAAACACAAGTAGCCTGGCTCCAGAACCCTGGATGCTCGGAGTTCCCCTCAAGTACAACGTGAAAACGATCCATTCAAATGATATTCAGCTGTCTAAGTCTTTGAAAAACAGTACTCATCTCTCCTTTTGCCCATCGTAAGTATTACTCCTTCCTTCCCCATTAATCAAACCTCTTCACTAGAAACCAGCAACTGGAAGCATGAGCCTTAGTATCATAATTTATGCTGGTGCTACCATTCAGTCTTTAGGTCAGATTGATGAATCGTGGCAAGTGCCTTAAGAGAAAGATTCTCCTCAGCGTCTCTGACCACCACCACCCAGCTCGAAGTCTTCCTATGTAGTTCCCCTTAAAAATCAGTGTGGAGGAACAGGACTCAGGAGTCCCTGGTCTCATAAGCTCTCCAGCCTGAGTCACTACAATGCTCACTTCTTAGAGGAAAAGTCCCACCCAAAGGTTTCTGCCTCTCCCTGGGAGTGGGTGCTGGTGGGAGAAGGGGACAAAGGAAGGGAGAATGCTGGAGGCAATAGTGTGTTTTCTTACAGAGCTCATCCTACCACCTGCTCTTACCTGTGCTAACGTGTACTTCATACTGTAATCCTTCCCAGCCTTTTCTCATTGCCTCTAATGGATCCTTTCAAGCAAAGGCAGCCTAAACCCTCAGCTTTCCCCCTGCAACCTGAGGCTTCTCACAGCAGAAGTTGTTAACCTACGTTCCATGGAGTATGTGAAGGCTTCAGAATGCCTGGATAATGTATAAACATTTTTGTTCACAGCTTACACCAGAGGGGAATTTATAGCTTGCACCAGGTATTCTCAGAGTGGTCTGTGATTCGAAAAAGTTGAATTGCCTTTCAGAGCTCTCATCTCTTGAATCAGGGATTCAGCACAGCAAAGGAAGTAGAAGTCAGAAATTAGAGAATGTATCAGGGACCAAAATGGAGAATGCTGAAATGGTGCCAGAGGGTCTTTGGGTCCAAAATTCTCCCAGCTTAGACAAGACCATGTCTGAAATGGAAGAGAGGAGGGGTGAGAGGAGGGCGGGATAGGATGACCTCAGGAAGGTTCTGTCAAGCAGCGGTAGGCAGAAGGTGAGCGGGATCAAATTCTTCTCAAATCTGAAACAGCTCACAGATTGTTCTGATATACTGGGAATTCCTGAGCATTCTCTGTCTAACCTAAGAGGTTGTTGAGGTTAGAACCCAGAAAAGGAAGTTGGAAATCTGAAGCCTCCATTTTTAATCAATGAGAGTGTCCTTTGCTGGGAGCCAGGCATTTCACTTCCATCTATCTGACCCCTGTAATTTCTGTTCCTTTCTACCAGTCCCTGAGGCAGAGGTAGTTAAGGACATTGGGAGAAGAGACTGAGAAGAAAGTAAAAACAAAACAAAAAACCCCAACTTTCTGAATCCAAGTGCATTAGAGTGATAGAGTGAAGGAAGCTGAGGATCAGCAAGTGATCCCGGTGCACTCTAAAAGTTCACAGTGGGCGGACTTCACCTTTCTCATAGGCCCTGTCCTGCAACTGAGAGGCCCTGGGAGAGGGCAGTGTGGCAGAATGCACATGGCTGAGTCAAATGCAGTCCTCTCACTAACTAGCTCTGCACACTCGAGCAACTGAATCTATTTGACATAGTCTATAAGCTAAGAGGCCTATCTACCTTATAGGGTTGATGTGAGGATTAAATAAAAAAACATAAAACCACTGGTGTAGAATAGGTTCTCAGTAGATGTGATTTTCTTCTCTCTGTACTACTGTCCCACCTGGGCAGACCCTCCATTGGGTTGCCCCACAGTGTGATATAACACCCCCACACATGCACACCACACGCTCATGTCCCTGGCTGTATTTGCATACTTATTGGCACACAACAGCCTGTACAGTCATACCTTAGCTAAGGGCATCCTTCTCAGACAAGATAAAGGCCTGGCTTGCTGATGATTGGACAAGCTGTGGATGGGCTCATCACAGTGACCTTGTTACATTCACCCCTTGAAGGTATCCTGGAAAAGCTGTGAATGAAGAATGAGAGGTTGTACCGGGGAGTACCTCCACAGGCATTTCCCCAAGATTGAGTGTGTTTTTGGGGGGGACACTGTCCATGGCTGCCAAGGAGACCCTAGTTTATGCCCAGGGTCATCGTATCTGGAGATGTGCTCTCCAATATAGTAGCCCCTGGCCACATGTGGCTATTAAGCACTTGTAAAGGTAGCTAGTGTGACTGAGGAATAAGAATTTTAATTTATTTAATTTTAATTAACTTAAAATTTAAAACATACCTGATTCAGTTATTGGAAAACTTTTAAGTATGTTTGAAGCAACTTGGATGTGTGAATCTACTTCTTTCAACAGTGAATTTTATGAAATCTAAATACAGATAAGGTATTCCTGGTGAAAATTTAAATTCCTGGTGACTGAATTGAGATGTCATATAAGTGTAGAATATACACTGCATTTCAAAGACCTAGTATGGAAAAATAATGTTAAATATTTCACTACTGACTTTGAAGTGATAATGGTTTGGGTACATTGGGTTAAATAAAATATAGTACTAAAATTAATTGTATCTGTTTCATTTTGATATTTTTAATGTGGCTACTAGAAAATTTGAAATTACACATGTGACTTGAATTCTATTTCTATTGGGCAGTGCTGCTCTCTGGAGACTTTGGGCAGCAACACCTCCCCTCACCAGAAAGTCATCTTTTCTCGACTGCCTCAGAGGCTTCCCAGAGAAGATTTCTCTGAACAGCAACGCTGTTTCTCCCCTTCTCTGCATTGCAGAGAGGGCAACTAGAATGAGAACCTCCGGCCCCCAACTCCCAAGTCCCAGCCTAATAAGCTGCTGGTGGAGATGAGGGGGAGGGCTGTGCCCTGGGAAACCTTTCTGGCACATGATAACTGGAGCTGGGGTGGGGTGGTTGCTGGGATGCTAATGAGTTGCCTGTGCACGGGGGCGGGGAGGTTGGAGGCTCAGGGATACACCCATTTCTCAAGAATGTCGGTTTCTCCAGTTTCACTCTCCAAATGGCCAGTTCTCAACACTCACCTCTGGCCCCTCCCTCAAATTCCCATTCCTGTCTCACTAAAGAGCTTGTGTGCCTGTGAAGTCCGGCTTTGTCTCCTCAGTGGCACCTGTTCCTCTTACCTGTAGGGACAGTTTGAGCTGGGAATCTTCTAATGAGTGGGAATTTAGGGAAGTAAAGTCTCCTCAGAATGAGGACAACAGTGGCAGGAATCGGCTAGGAAGCTCACGATGCTTGCTTGTGGTTTGGTGTAGGGTGAGTGGGAGCTCCAGAGAGTGCAGAGAAGCTCAAGGATACTGGGCAGATGCTGCTGCAGAGAGAGAAGGGCTGGCTCCCCAGGGTGGTGTGATTCTCCACTTCTCAGTCCCTCCTCCCCTCTCCCTTTCACTCCTCCCCTTCTGATGATGCTGAGGCTGCTGCCCTGTCCCTTGAGCTCCCAGCATCTCTACTTTCTTTTTTTTTTTTTGGCTCTGCTTTGCCCTCTGAAGCACTCTCAGTGGTAGTCAGCAGTTCCACCTCCCACTCTGCCTCCCCATCTGGGGTCTCCATATGTAAGTCGGTGACCTCTATCCAGAGACAGCTTCCCCCTGGGGCTGCACTTAAAACAGAACATGAGCAAGCTGCAGAAGGGTAGCGGAAATTAACTAGGCAGGCAGTTCTGCTGCTCCCCCCTTCCCTCCACTTTTCACTACAGCTTGCTGTGCCCCTCCTCCCTTGTTCCTCCAAGCCCAGTTCTACCGTGTTCTGGGTCTCTCTTCTTAGACAACTACAGATTCTTTCTTTTGTTAGTCATTTCCTAGGAGTTCCCTTCTGGTTTTCCCCCAAGGGCACTAGGGATCTGTGACACAGGAATGACGGGGAGATCCCACTGAGAAATGAGAAAGAAGGGAAGAAGCTGCAGAGGGATCTCCTGGAAGGTGGAGGATCTCTCCAGCTCCAGAAGATGGAGAGTGAAAGGGAAAGGATTGAGTCTGAAACTGGGGCTGAGGGTGCTGATCTCTCAGGCATGGTGAGCCTGCTTAACCTGCTTGTCAGGCTGGGTTAGATGGAGGCGAGACCATCGGGATACATGATCAAGAGGCAGGCAGAAGGGTAGGAAGCGGGGAGAAATAGAGTGAAGTAAAGAAAACTCCGGAGATCATGTTTAGTTTTGGCTCCTCCTGTTGTGCCCCTTGGCAGCAGGTTTAATGACAGACAGAGGAAGGTGAGGGAGGCTCATGCAGACACAGTGCCGGTGTATAGCCTGTTCTCACCCATCCCACACTCTCATCCTGGTCCTCTCCTTAGTCTGAGGCTCTAGTTCCTTGTGCCCGGGGGCTGTGGTGGGAGTGGGGAGCAGAAAAGAAAAAGAAACTGCCTGGTTGAGGAGAAGAGACTCCAAGAAGCAAGTGGCACTTCCCAGATCCACCTCTGAATTAATCTCATAGCTGTTGTCGGCAATTGGTACTTGTTATTATAGGACATGTGTGTGAAGAAAGCTTAATGGTTAGCATAGAAGACTGGAGCCTTGGTTATGTTTCCTGCTTTGGGTGGATAGGGGTGGGGTGGGGAGGAGGGTGCAGTGGTGAAGAGAGGGCTGGGCTGACTACAGGGTCCATATGGGCAGTTCCCGGGGACCCTCAGAGAAGAGATTACAATGCTACCCTCGGGCTGGAAAAGCTTGCAGAAGCAGATTCTTATCAGGAGGCATTGCTGGCACAATGCAGGCAGGTGGGAGAACTGAGCTGCTTGGAACTAGGTTCTGGTCCAAGTGGCCTTGTTTCTGTCTTCTTTGGTATCTGAAACTGACTTGGCCAGGTCCCCAGAGTGGAAGGAAAGATCAGAAGAGCTTGGCAGTGACCCGGTTACCCCCAGAGTTCTTATCCCCAGACGGCCGAGGTGCCACAAAATCAAAGGTCATGTGATGTTTGACCCGGCCCTTGCCCTTGCTCCAGAGGGCAATCAAGCCAAAGCAGAGGGTCACAGAGGTGAGGAAAGGAAGGAAGCCGACTGCCAGCACCATAGCCACACCTCTGCTATCCAGAAAGAAAGGCCCTGGGATCCCTGGCGTGGTGATGTTGGAGTTGGAGAGAGTGCCATTTGGTGGTTCAACTTGGATTACTTCCAGCCAGGTCCTCAGGGAGTCATTCCCAGCCACATTGCTGACCACACAGACATAGGCCCCTCTGTCCCGCAGCCGCACTGAGCGGATCTCCAGCGTCCCATCCCCTAGGACCCTTACTCTCCCAGCTCTTCCTAGCCAAGCCCCCTGAGGCCTCATCCAGGATACAGTGGGGGCTGGGTCTCCATCTCCAGAGCAGGAGAAAATGGCATGCCCCCCCTCCTCTGCAATGACCCACCGAGGCCCAGACTTTCGGATCAGGGCTGGTTTGCAAGTGAAGTGCCCTGGAGGTAGGATGTCTGAAAACTCCCTCAGGTTTTTCCCCTGCACATGCTGGGGGCCTGCACAGGCAGGGGGGGATGTGCCAAAGTCCAGGTGGCGGCGGAGCCGGAGCAGCCAGAGGAGGCGGCAGTCACAGGTCAGGGGGTTGCCAGACAGTCTCAGGGTGACCAGTTTGTCTGGAGAAGGGAAGGCTGTTTCCTCTAGTGTCTGAAGGGCGTTATCTGCCACATCCAGGAGGTGGAAGGCAGTCAAGCCATGGAAGGCGTGGGCAGCAATGGAGGTGAGACAGGCCCCTGACAGTCGGAGCTCCTGGAGCCGCACCAAGGGGGTGAGCCTTCGGGCTGGGATGGCTGAGATAGGGTTCTGAGATAGATCTAGGACCCTGAGGAAGCTCAGGTGGTGCAGTGCTTGGAAGGGCACTGAGCTCAGATTGCAGCGGGTTATAGCCAGACTGCTAAGATTGAGCCCAACCAGGCTCCCAGGGTCCAGAGCCTCCAGAGATGGCCAGTGGTGGATCTCCAGCTCTGTTAGCTGCCTCAGCCCTTGAAGTGCCCCAGCCGGCAGCCTCCCAATATCCAGTTCTCGAAGCCTTAGAGCCACTAGTGCTGGGAGCCGGGTGAGGGCCAGACCAGGCACTGTGCTGAGGTTGCAGCGCTCCAGGGTGAGGGTGCTCAGCTTGGCCAGCCCTGCAAAGGCCCGTGGGGCCACAAACACCAGGTGGTTGTCCCCAACCTCCAGCTGTTGGAGGCTGCCTAGCTCCCCAAAAGCTCCATCTAGGAAGAGGACAATCTGGTTAAGGCGGAGGTCTAGCAGTGTGAGGGCCGACAGGCCTGAGAAGACGCCAGGCCCTAAGATTCGGAGCCGATTGCCCTGCAGCCTCAGGGTGAGTAGGTTTTGTAGGCCATGGAAGGCCCCGGGCTCCAGGGTGGAGAGCTGGTTGTAGCTGAGGTCCAGTTCCTGGAGCAGGCCCAGGCGGGAGAGCATTCCCCGCTGAAGCCCCCATAGGCGGTTCCCACTCAGGTCCAGGAGTTCAGTGTCCAGCGGGAGTCCCCCGGGCACAGCCTCCAGTCGCCTGTGGGCACAGAGCACTGCCCGGGGCTGGGAGGTGCAGTCGCACACAGCAGGACAGCTGCCACCACTCCCTCCAGGCAGGAGCAGCAGGAAAAGAAGGGGGCACCATGGGGGCCAGGCTTGCTTTGGAGCTGTGGCCGCATCCATCCCTTCTTCGATCCTGGAATAGATGATAAAATGGCCATTTTTTGGAAAGTTGCTTCAGATGATGGTGACCCCAAGCTTCCCTGGCCCTCCTTAGAGAGGGGAGAAATTGGTATATCTGTCTCAGCATTGCCAGCAACTAGGGCACAGAACCAGGAGGAATTCTGGTGCACTACTTCCCTAGGACTTCCTGGGGCTCCTCTCTGGGGAATCTCTACTTTCCTCCCCTTCCAGCCCTGGATAACCAGCCAAGTGTTTACTGTAGCTCATGGAACCCTAGTCAAGCCTGATTCCTGTTGAGAAAGTTTTGTGAGAATGGCACAGGTAGCAGCAGGGAAGTAACTTTGAGTCTCCCTGTAATGGGTTTTTACCAGTGCCTGTGAGGACCAGGAATGCCTCAGGTCCCTTCTCCCTGATATCTGCTCTTCCCAAGCTCTGCTCTGTCCATCACTGCCCTCTCTTGCTCGCCCTATTATGTACCCATAGCTTTGCCTAAGGCTCAGGGAGATCACATCCTCAGCTAGAGTTCCCTGTCCTCATTGGAGAGAGGTCCTCACCTTGACTAAGTCACCCAAGGCTGGGACACATGCCCCCAGTCTCTGCCCTCCTCCAGCCTGGCCCAGGGCCTGAGCCCTGGACTAGCAAGATCCAATCTCCCCAGAATGCCTGTGTGGCTGACAGCCAAGCTGTGCATTAGCCATGGCACAAGATGCAGGGGGCACTTGACTCGGGAGCAGGGGATCCCTCCTCCCCTACAGATGGAGTTGGGGTGTATAAGGGACCCAAAGGATGACCACGTTTTAAGTTCTGATGCTCAGTCCTCAATCTTCGACTTCTCATATCCTCAGCTATGGTGTTTTGATTCTAGTCCAGTGTGTGAATCTGAGGGCAAGCTCTTGTTCCCTTTTGCCTGAGCAATACCCAAGAGATGGATGGTGAACTAGGGAGATGTAGATAAGCGAGGGGAGACAGCAGCTGACCAGATGCTATGGGGTGGGGGTGGGGGTGGGGGAAGGGAGTCCTTGGCTGGCACTGCAGATGTCTGGGCACTGGCAGTATGTGGAGCCTGTTGATTTAAAGTGGGTTTCTGGGTACCAGAGGCCTGCACAATATCAGGAAGGCAGTTACTACAATGACCACTGGGGACTGGCTGTGGTGATAGAGGAGAAGGGGTCCGCGAAGTGGTGAGAGTCCTTCAATTCACCCCATTCAGTGCCAACTGGGACCTTAGGCGAGGGGAGTATTGGAACTGGCAAGGCACGGGCCCCCTGTGAGGCAGCATGCCTGAGTTGCTCCCAGCTGCAGATCCCAATTGATCCCTTTGGGTTTTTGGGCTTTAGGCCTTCTGGACTCTACAGGGCCTCGTTTCTACCACATACCCTATTTTCTCCCATGTGGAACTTGGCAGAGGTAGTTTAAGAGACAGTGTGATTTCTTCCCCTTGCCTACCCACTCAACACTCTCCTCTAGAAGGATCGTTCTAGTGGCTATTCCGTAGCCACTTCAGAGGATTGTAGTAGTTTGGAAACTAAAGAAAGAGTCCAGAAGAGCAGAGAGATGCAGAAAACCATTCTGAGGCCTGGGATGAGAAAGAATGGCCTGGGGCCAAGGCTGCTGACCTAACAGGTATCAGTGGCATACTAAGAGTTCTCCAGGGAGAGAAGTGTCCCAGCCCTGCCCCCATTCTCCCAGTGCCTGTTCTGGGAAGTCCACCTGACAGCTAGCTTTTCATCACTACTGCTGCAGTTCCTGTTCACCCTTTGGCTCTACATTCAGCAAAAGTGCACTGAAGCATGTACCCTGCTGTCCTCCTTCCTGCTCCTGTGAGTTTCCTCTTAGTTGCCAAAACCTGCCAGTCCAGGGGCTGGGGGCTCTGGGGCCAATCTCCTTTATTTAGAAGGCAGCTAATTTAACCACAAACTTCCTTTGCCAACCTCCATGGCTACAGGACTGGCTTCTGTCCACTCGGCAGGAAGAGAGATGGGTGTCAGAACCACTTTTTTCTCTCCTTCAGTGGGGTGGGGTCTGGGGCATCACCCTCTCAAGGACAGCGATCTTTCTTTTTGTCTCTATATGGCAGTCCGGGGACACATTTGAACAGGGATATCCTCTTTAGAGCATACCTGATTGAGGCATGGGGGGGGCTCCTGGGAGCAAGATTTCTGGAATACCTGCGTTGAGTGTGGGGGAAACCCCTCCCAGAGCTAGAGGGAGCACTGGGGAGATGGAAGGGAGGTCTCCTTGGAGTTCTTCCACCCAGGGGCACCTGGGATATTTTAGTTTCCCCATCAAATTCCTGTGGGACCAGGATTAATGATGAGACTGGGGTTGGGGCACAAACCCTCTTGCTTTGACAGGCACACTGGTCTGGCCTTGCTTCTGAGAATGTTATGGGAAAGGGCAGTTGCAGCTTCAGGACAGAGGGTAGGGGCACTTACCGGAGAAGCTGGAGGGTGGTATCAAGTTGGGCACTGCCTCTGTCCGTGGCTGGGAGCCCCATCCCATTCGAGCTGCACCTTGGCCCCGCACCTCCCCTGTGTGCCTCACTCCCCACTGCCCACTGCCCGCCCGCCTGCCTGCCGCTGCTGCTGTTGCTGCTGCTGCAGCTGCTCCGCCAAGACGGAGGTAAAGAGCCAGAAAGCATTTCTCCTTTTCTCTCTCTCTCTCTTTTTAAACCAGATGAGAATGAGTCTGCAGCAACCCTGTTGGTGCAAAATAAATAAATAAGGCAACCAGGGAGGGCTGCAGCAAGCACCACTACAGGATGGCGAGTGAGGGGGGAGGGGGTGAGGAGGGAGGCTCTGGTGCCTGGGGAGGGCTCATGCAACAGAGGCAGCTGCGAAGCTCTAAAGGGTCTTTCTGACATCCTGATTCCCCTCTGGGAAGCTGGGGAGCTCTCGGGTCAACCACCTTTCAGAGGATTGTCTTTTGGTCTCTGAGATGCAGGGCAATTCGGTACAATCTCTAAATCTAAATGTGCCCTGTGGGTATCATTTGTGGGAAAGTTCTCAGTCCAGAACATCCCCCGTGGAACAGTTTGAGGCTCCTTCAGTGAGGGTTCCTGAGGATCAGTTCACAAGCCTCTTTGGGGGACTGCTCAGCCTTGGGAGAAATTAGCAGGGGCTAGAAGCCTTACAATGCGGATGGATTGCTGACCTGGAGACCTGGGTCTCCACACAGGAATGAGACGGCAGGCATATGGGTAATCTTATTTAAGGCTCCCCTACCCCCCAACACACATACTGTTTACCTTTAAAATCATTTTGTAAAGAATGGCACAAGTTGGGGTTTATGTTTACCCAGCCAAACCCCTTCCCTGAGAGGAAAAAAAAAAAAAAATCCCCCTCCCATCATTTGCTGCTTTTCCCTCAGAGGAGGGTTCACAGCTATTTATAAAGCCAAGAGAAGTTCTAGGGCAAGATCACAGCTCCAGAAACAGGTCTGTCCTCTGTCCCCTGGTCTCCTCCTCTATGCTGGAGTCAGCGGTCCCCAGTCACAGAGTGGTGGGATTGCATCTGCTTCCTTTCTCCATAACAAGAGTAGGGCTGAGGGGCAGGGTTAGGAAAGTCCTTCCAGGGTCTGTCCTTGGCCTTTTGACTGACCAGTGTCCAGCCATCTCTGCTTCTGTTGGGGCTTCTCATGGTAGAAGACAGCTGGAGCTGGGATGGAGTTTAGACCACCCCGGGTCTCAGATTGGTGGACTAGAGCACCATGGAAATGTTCTGGGGTCCCTCAGGATTGGGACTCTTCCCTGAGGCCACTAGGCTTCTCTGAGCTGTGACCTCAAGGGTGAGAGAGATTGTGACAGATTAAATGTGTCTATAGAGCTGCATGATTGCAGGTTGAGTCTGAATGTGTTTCACCTGTATGTGGATGTGTGTCTCTGATCAGATCTGTGCTAACCAATAAAGCCTATTTTTAAAGTGCACATAAGAGGTTTGAGTTCTAACTCTATATCTGTCTGTGATGCTCTTGCCTTCATCGTACTCTATCCCCATACCCAAATCCCATAAAGCAATTATCCCCAGCCTCTCACCCCCATCCCATCCTTACCCTCCACATATCTATTTTTTTCAAGACCCCAGGAAAAGGGCAGGGTGCCCAGTCACTTCCCTGCTGAGCTAGGAGGAAGAGGGAAGGCAGGAAATCTAGAGGTCCAGATTCATATCATATACAGGTCCTTCTGGGCTCTTGCCACCAGCCTCTGAGCTTGATCCATCTCCTCCAGCCGAAGCCCATGGGGAAATGCAATGAGGTATTTCAAAGGCCTGTTTGTGGCTTTTGAGCCCAGAGTTGAGTTCTGTTCATCCAGGGTACCCTGGATTCCCCAACTTTCTTGAGGACACCTTGGTCCTCCCTAGAGGTCCTTATATATCCCACTCACCCCATGCCTCCCAGAAGCTGGGGTGAAAGGGTAAGGGAAATGAGACAGAACAAAGCTGAGGTTGGAGATGGTGTTCCTCCATCCCCACCCTCTGGCTACTGTCCCACTGGCAGGAAAGCCTGTGGGCAGTAAACTAGTCTCAGCACTTTCTCACTCCCAAAGAGCAGGCAGGTACCACCCTCCAGAGGACACGGGAAAGGAAGACGCTGGGGGTGGAACGGGGTCCGGGCGGTGGGCCAGCAGGCTGTGGGGAGAGGAAAGGAGCCCCTCCTCTGGGTCACTTGGACAGCCCCTCAGGTGACTCGATTTCAGTGCTGAAGAGTTCCCTGTAGAGTGGGGGGAAAGCAGCTTGGACCACGATGGGGTGGAGGTGCTGGAAGATTTGCAACTTTTCCACATGCTGGCTACACAGGCTCCGAAGCTTCCCCTTGGGTGGCAGCTAGAGATGGGTTAATGGGGAAGAGAGGGTCAGTACTTCAGCAAGAAGTGCTCTCATCCTTCCTGGGCTGGGCTAACCCTCCTGATTTTCCCAATGCATTTGGCACTTTGCGATCAGCCAAATCCCACTGGCAGAAGTATGAGCATGTGTGTGTCAGGACATCAGAGGCAAGTGAGAGCTGATGTGGGACAGGGGAATGTCTTATGGGTGAAGCCCCCACATCATGTTCCTGCTACTCCTAACATGAACCTTGTTAAAGGCTCTAACTCACACTTCATGCTTTTACAACAGCGACCTTCTGTGACTCTCTCTGTCATGTGCTGTCACACACCCTCTGTCTTTGCCCATGTTTCTCCCCTCTTTGGGATGCCTTTCCACCTCATCTTTGCTTGGCTGATTCTTATTCACCTCCCAGTGTCACGTGCACCTGGAATATTTCCCTCTGTCTGGAGCAAGCGTCCTTCCTCTGGGCTTCCCTCAGTGGCACTTACCACATTGTAAGAAAATGATCTAATCTGTCTGCCTTCCCACCCTGCATTTAAGCTCCTTGGGTGGGGAGCTCTCCCTCTGTCCCCTCTGTACCTATCATACTGCTTGGCACAAGGCACATACTCCATGGCCGAACTAAACAGACTTCCTAAGCAGGTACGCAACACTGCAAATAGCAAACCAACACTGCTGGCCCTCAGCCAAACGGGAAATGAAAAAGGCGCAGAAACCCATGATGAGACACAAGCAGGGAGACCTCACTGGAGAAATGCTGGAAAAACCATTCATCTCCTGCAGTGTCACATATAGCTAAGTGAGGCTTAAAAATACCTCTCACCAGCCATCGCCTTGCTCCCTGCGGCTTAGTTTCCTGGGAAAGGGACAGTCAGGGAAAAGCAGGCAGCATGGAGATCCCTTCATAGCTCTTGAATTCATTCTCTTCTCTGCTGCTTTACTCTGAGTTTGTCTGGGCTAGTGCAATAACTTCATTCATTCATTCAACAAATATTTGTTGAGAACCTGTCTGAATTTGGGCTAGGCACTGTGATGGGCTGTATACTGATGCATAAGTCAATAAAATAAAATCTCTACCTTTACTAAATTTACATTCTAGTGAGGGAGTCAGAAAATAAATAAATATATAATATGTTGGATAATAAGTTCTTTAAAGCTGGGTGATGGGTGGAAGGCTTTCTGTATGAAGTAAGCGGTTAGGGAAAGCCTCCCCTGAATGAAGGAATGGAGCGAGCCATTTGGAAGACTGGGGGAAGAACCTTCCGGGTGACAGTAGCAGCAGGTACAAAAGCCCTGAGATGCAACTGGGCTTGATGTGTCCAAGGACTAGCGAGGAGGCCAGTGTGTTTGGAATAGGTGATTGATGGGGGCAGTAGAAGGTCAGATGTAAAAAGGAGAAAGGGGTCATATGAGGAGGCCAGTTGGCCATGACACAGACTCTAGATTTGATTCTCAGCATGACAGGCAGCTATCGGAAAGTTGAGAACAAGAGAAGGACATGATATGACTGCCTTTTTAAAAGAGCCATCGTAAGTGCTGAGTAGGTGCTGTGTGGCTGCTACGGGGCAGACAAGGGTGGAGCAGGGGTCCAGTTAGGAGGCCTCTACTTGTCCAAGTGAGAGCAGATAGCTGTGGGGTGATGGTGGAGGAGGAGATGTATTTTGAAAGTGCATCCAAGATTTGCTTCCCAATTGCTCTCCCAGGTTCCAGTCTCTTCTCCTTCTAATCTATCTTATAGTAGATTAAAGTTAAAGTTCTTTAGGGCAGAGACTGTTTAAGTCATTTCTGTATCCTCAACCCCCAGCACTGTGCTTGGCACATAGCAAGGGCTCATTTGAATAACTACATAAATTGTTCCTTTACACTGGTTCCAAAGTAAATCGTCTGAATGACAGCTCTGATTATATCATTCCACTAGCGTTTGGGGCTCCCCACTGCCTAGGAATAAAGCCTTAACTCTTTAGCATGGCATTGGAAGTCCTGATTTGCCCCTGACCTGATTTTCAGGCTTATCTTCTGCTATTCTTCTGTCTCACCAATCTATCCCAGCTCCTGATCTTACACTTTGATCAAAATGTGCCACGAGCTATTCTTCATGTATGCACTATTTTGGCTCCTTATTTTTGCTCATATTATTCCCTAAGCCTACAATGCCTGCCCCACCCCCATGAATGACTGTTAAAATCTTATTACATCTTTCGTGGCTTAGTTTAAATGCCACCTTCTGTAGGAAGCACTTATGATCTACTCCTTTTACCCCCAAATTATTTGTAATCCCTGTTTTGTGCTCCCATAACAATGTCCCAATATCTCTTATTATAGTGATATAATCCCAGGGCACAGGGATGTAGTGGAAAGAGTACTGGAATTAAATCTTGCATTTATCACTTAACTAACAGCATACATAAGTCACTGAAGTCTCCTTATTGCTACAGGGAGATTTTAATACCTGTCCTATTGACTGGGTTGCCATGAGGATGAGAGAGCATAGCAGCAAAAGCATTTTGTTAATCGCTTTGTCATCATTATCAGGAAACACACTCTACTCTATATTTATTGGCACACATGTCTCTTCTTCATACCAGATTAAAATCTCTTGGTGGGGGCAAAGACGAAATCTCTGTATCTTTCCACAGTGCCTGTACATGCAGGTGTTGGGTAAGTGTTGGCTATATTAAACCGAGTTGTTCCCTGGAGGTCCCTTCCAATTCCAGGCTAACTTTCCATCCTTAACCGCGTGGCAGTCGCTGTTCATTCCTTTAGTTCCCGATGCTGTTGCAAGCTCTCTCACACAATGTGCCGCTCAAGCACTCCCTCCCCTGTGCCTGCAGACACTAGCCCTCACAAGCCCTGATGTCACAGTTCTGGCACTGGGCCTGGCCTCTTCTACCCCAGGGATTGCTCCTACCTTTGCCAGGATGCCTTGCCGATGAGTCTTGCAGAGATGATGATGAAAGGCCAGCTCCAGACTGTACTGCAGCTGTTCTACTTTCCTCTTCTCTTGGAGCCCTGGCCGGTCTGACGGAGGGGATGGGACCATAGCAAGAACGAGAAAGAACACGATGTTAACTTCCAGCAAAAGGGTGTATCTGTTTGTACATCTGTGCTGGATAGAGGCCTTCTCGTCTCTGTGCGTGTGTCTTGTTTTGATAATGGTAAGCTCTGGGACCTTGGGCTTGGCTAGCTGCCTACAAGGAACACTGGGAAAGATGAAAGGAGTGAGAACTTCTAACCTCCTAACTCCAAGCTACCTTTTCCCTGGTAACCTAATATTCTACGTAGCCCATTCAATGCGAGGCACTAGGATTCTGCCATGGGTGGGTGGGTGGGGGACTGAAGTGAAAGAAAGTGTTGGAAGAGAGCTCCCCCAACTCCTACCAAAAATGGCTCTAGATAAGAGGTGGCCTTCCTGAAGCCACCCAGGCCAGCACCAGGGCCTCTGCAGCAGTCTGTGGCTAACTTCAACACACAAACTGCCTTTTGCCCGGTTCCATACCCAGGAGTCATTTTTAAGGTTTTTATTTCCAGTCCAAGGGTTACGTTTAGGTCTCTACTCATTGGCAGAGTCAGAAGATTCTTGGTAAATAAACTCAGGTGAGCAGTTAGACTGACTTCCCAGGTTTGCTAAATACTTAGCATTCAGCTGGCTTAGCCCAGCCCACTCCACCTCAGTGGAGAGGGTAACCAGGGTCCTGCCATTATAGCCATACAGTCTTAGAATTAGTTCACACAGAGCAGCGATTCTCAATGTTGGTGGCCTGAGGGAGGCTGTTAAAATTCAGGTGCACCCCAGATGACACTGGCATCTCTGGAAAAGGAACCCAGGCAGCAACAGTTTTTAAAGCCGCCCAGGTGATCCCAATGTGTGCTACAATGAAATCACTGACGTAGACTAATAATCAGACTAATTTCTATCAGGGAAGCGGCTCATTGCCCCTCCTCCTCTCTCCCCCCACTTCTACCACCCACCTTGTGCTGCTCGTGTCCCTTCCTGAGGCTCCTCTGAATCTTCACTTTAACTTACTTTATCTTACAGCAACATTGGTGGGACTCATTCTGCCATTTAGAGCAATTTCCAGATGTAACCACAGCTGAAGGTCTAGATTCTCCAGTATCTGCCCCGCCACCTGAATGTCCCTTACCCAAGCCCAGCGACACTCACTGGCATTGATGAGAACAAGGGCTGTGTAGAGGGCAATCTCGTCCTCAGAAAAGCGCAAGGCACTGAGGGAGTGGGAGAAGTCGAAGATGGAGCTGATGAGCTCGCTGCAGCCTGATGGAGCAGAAATGGAAAGAATGAGCAAGCCAGGTGTGACTGTGGTGCCCCAGATACTGCCCTCTTCACGTTTGCAGCTGAGGGGCAATCTGCCTGGAAAGAGGGTGACCTGGGTCATGAAGCTTTGGATGGGGTTGGCATCAGAATCCTCTCTCTCATTTCCCCCTGCCCTCACCCAAGGCTCGGAACAGCTCCATGCCACCGTATTTGCCTTCAAAAAAGACTGTGTGGTTGTCAGCGTTGTAGGCCCGGCACATCCTGACCAGCACCACTTCCATTGCTCCTGGGCAGCAGGGAGAAAAGAGGCAGGGACAGCATCAGGCAGTCAGGAATCTGTCTCTGACTGCCTCAGTGTCCTGGTTTCCGTAAGCCAGCTCACTCCATTTGGCTCTGCCCCAATCCGCACTCTGTCCCTGCTCCTCCCAGGCCTGTCCACCCATCCCTGGGTACCTGTTTTGAGTAGCACGATCTGGTCATTCTGGCAGAGCTCCATAAAGCCTGAGAGCCTCTTAGCAAACTCCACCACGTACTGGATGGCCTCGGTGAGGCGGTGGGCACAGCGTTCCCACATCTCCCACATGGACTGCAGGGAGGGAGCAGGGTCCCGCTGTAGCCCGCTGTGTGACCCTGTGGTCCTCCCAAGCTATGGGAGCCCCACCTAATAAACTGCAGGGGTAGGTTCTGAACTCCCACATTCTCAACACTGGCATTTCTAAAAGGCTATTCTCAGCACAGATGCACTCAGGGATCAATTCCTGTCCATCAGTCCCACTCACTGAGCACCCACCAGCTGCCAGCACTGAAGAAGCCGTTGTGAGGGAACAAAACACCTGGGAAATGCAGCTTTGCCTTCACACAGCTTCATTTGTTGAGGCGAAAAGGACATACTGCCTCCCCTCCCCGCCAAAAAGGACATACCCAAGGTCTTCATAACCTTGAGAAGCAAATGTGATGTGCCAAATGAGAGTTTTTAGATCAAGTGGTATTGCTGGAGTGTGACAGGAGAGAGAGCACAAACCTTGGAGCCCGACGCATCTGAATTTGACTTTGACTCCACCCTTTTGTGACCTTGAGTAAGTATTAACCCCTTTGACCTCAGCTTCCCAGTCTGCTTCAAATAGAAATAAATGCCACCCTCATCGGTTGGTTGTGGTAAGGTTGAGGATAATTTATGTAAAGCATTTACATAGATTATGTAAATGATGGCAGAGAAGGGGTGTTTAACAAATGCTAATCAGGGTTTTGCTTATTGATTTTATTGATAGAGGAGGAGGAAGGAGAGCACACCAGGTCTGGGTGGTTGAGTAGGTAGGCTGAAGGCCAGGTAAAATTTTAGTAGGCAGGGTCTAAGGGAAAGCTCTCATCCATCTGCTAGGGTGTACACAGACACCCACGCAACAACACTTAAAAGTAATAAACACACTTGCTGGCCAGCCTGTGCCTGTCTGTGAAAGCCTGCCCCACCCCAGCCCCGCTGTGTGTGCAGGTAGCCGTCCTTGGACTCTCCCAGTGGCAGTGGGAATCCTCCCTTCCCGCACGGTCTCCTGGCCTCACCTTCCTCTGGTAGCCGGTTACCTCCTCCCGGGAGAAGATGTTGGAGCGCTGCCGTAGCAGGTCCTCCAGCCGCAGCTGACATGTCTCTCGGTAGGACTTACAGACGTTTCGCACCAGGTGCTCTGGGGCCAGAGAAGGAAGGCACGGCTCGATCTCAGCCAGCTCCTGCTCCTACCCATACAAGGGCCCCTCGCTGCCTGGCATGCCCTGCTCTGCCTCCTCCCTTGGCTTCTTGTCCAGGACCCCCAACTCCCTGGGCTCGTGCTTGGTTGATGTGGGGTGCTGGTGGAAGCCCCTCCCTTGTCTTCACCACCCCTCCACCTCCTCAGCCGCTCACCTATCTCTGTCAGGGAGGCATAAGGTGCCTCTGGGGTGCTGCGCAAACTGGAGCTGCAGTAGCTTTCCGGGCCCTGTCCTGGTTCCCCCAGCCCAGGATGCCTGGGCTCCTCAAAATGAAGTCCACATCTGTCAGGGGTCAGCTGGCGGCCTGTGCTGTAGGTGCTCTCTCTACCCTCAGCCTTGCCCCGCTCAGGGCTGTATTCAAGGTGGTATGAGGCCCCATTGAGCACTGCCTTGCCCACGTTGTTGGAATATGAGGGCCCAGATCCTGAGGCTCTCAGGAGGCCAGGGGGACAGGCAGAGGCCTCGGGTAGGTCAGGCGAGGAGCCCAGGGGCAGCTGCCCATCTGGAAGCCCCAAGGTGTAGGTGAGAGTGTCTGCTCCTTGGCCCCCTGCTGGAGGGGTCTTGGCCACTTGTTCCTGCTGCTGCTGTTGCTGCTGCTGCAGTTGTTTCTGCACTTCTGCATGCAGGCTGTCCCTCTGCTTCTTGGACATGCGGCCAAACTTGACAGCTGAAAGAGGTCCAGGGGTCAGGAGTTTATGAGGCAGGAGAACATGGTACAGGGCAGGGTCGCCAGGCATTTTGGTCATGACAGGACTAACTTGCTGCTCCCTGAATAGCTAGCTGACTCCAAGCACAGCTTCTCCAGCCTTGCCTAGAACCTCCCTTTAGGGAGCTTATTTTCAAGACCTCTCCTACCTCTCTCCCTTGTTTGCTCAGGGATCTGTCCAGCCTGCCATTTCAATCTCCTGAGCAAAATCTTCTATGTTCTAAACCAACTTCTAATAGAATTCGAGCAATGAGTCTGGGCTAGGCATTCTGGCCTCCTGATGCTGGTGCTGGGGGTGGTTGAGTAGGGGGCCTCAAGCTGTATTGGGGTCAACTCGCCTGTCTGGGAGGGTCAGAGGAAGAGGAGAACAGAGAACACAGGTCTCCCTGTGGTCAGGCCTGCAGGCTCCCTGGTGACCTAGATACTCACCACAGCCCAACCCGCTCCGCGGCTGGTTTCTAACATCCTCTTCTGCTCTCTCTTTCCTGCCTTTTTCCTCCCCCCGCCACCCCTCCCAGGTGTGGGGGCACAGCCCCTTGCCCCGCCTGCCCCTTTGCACTCCTGCGTGTTTCCTTTTGCTTTGTTATTTTGGGTGCTGAAAAGTGCTGACGGGCTCCTTCAGGCTCCTTGTCACCTCACGCCTTCCCCAGCCCCGCCCTGGACTCCTTCTGTGGTGGGGGGTGAGGGGTTGGTGAGGAGGTGGGGGGTGAGGAAGGGGGATAAGTCACCAGGAACACCAGCCTCCCCTCCAACCTTCTGGTTTATTCTCAGGCTGACTCTGTTTCCCTTCATAGCCACGGTCCTGAGTCCTAGGACAGGAATGGGGGACTAGGAAGGGAGATGGAGTGATGGGGTAGTAGTGAAAGATGCAGAAACTGGATGGGAGCAGGGCCAGAGAGGAGCAGGGGGAGGAGAATTCATCCCAAGGAGGAAGGGATGAAGAGGTCTGGGACCTCAGCAAAAGGAGGTTTGTCCCAGCAGAGCCTGAAGTTGGTAAATCTGAAGAGCTTTCAGATGGGGTGACCTGCTCCTCCCCACAGTGGAAGAGACATGGGGCTGTCAACAGGAGGAATGGAGAGCAGACCTCTGGAAGGGCGTTTTTGCGGCTTAAGCCCTGGCTAGCACAGCAAGCCAGGCTGCTGCTCTGGAGATTCCAGGGAAACCCCGGGGGCTGCCTGCTTGGCCTCACCATCTCGGGACATGCCCAGTGCCAGGCATTTCTGCAGGCGGCAGTGCTGGCATCGGTTTCGGCTAGTGCGATCGATGGGGCAGTTCTGCTGACGGGTGCAGGAGTAGGCCACGTTACAATGCTGGCTCCGGCGGAAGAAACCCTGGGGAAAGCAGGTGGAGGCCAAGACTGCTTATCCTGGCCAGGCCCAGCTTGATCCTGAGGGGCTCCAGCCATGAGCTCCGGCCCCAGCTTTCCTACATCCTGTGACCTGTCAAGTCTCTCTTTTCCATTTCTTTGCGTAATTGCAGTTTGTCCTGCAACCACTTCTGCAGCTTAGGACAAGGCCCTCCCTGTACTCAGGGCTCTCCAGGGAGGCGTCAACAAGGCAGCTCCCTAGCTGCCGTAGGAGACCATCCCTGGAGTCAGAACCAGAGCCATGGAGGCCCTTCTCCTCCCTCTCTGAAGAGACTGTGTGTGCACGTGCGGGCCCACACATGTGTGACTGCAACTCACCTTGCAGCCCTCACAGGTGATAACCCCGTAGTGGATCCCAGACGACTTGTCCCCACAGATTTTGCAAGGGATCACTTCAATTTGTGCTGGAATTGAAGAGAGAGAGAAGTAGGTCAGTCCAGGAGGCTTTTCTGCATCCTACCGCCATGTACCTGGACTGCAGACACAGGTACCTGGTGCTTCCCCCACTTCTCCAACCAGCTTCAACTTACTGTTTCCCTCTTGCAAAATGGGAGGGGAAGTGAAGTGCCAAATGCTTCTTACAGAGGGCCTGAGGAGGCTGTTTTTTGTTTCACAGAGGAGGGGGGTGTATAGGGGGCAGGCGGGAGTTATATCTCTATGGAGGTAGAGAAAGCAGCTGCAAAGAGGCCACCTGCTCAGCCCTTCGAGTTGAAAAGCTCCAGTTGCCTCCCTCTTGCCTTGGGACATAGGAGTCCTCACCACCTCACACACCTGCTTCCCGCCCAAGGGGCTTCCTTTGCATCTCCCTCCCCCACTGAGGCTCAGCACCCATGGGCAGAGTGTGGGGCATGCAGGAAGATGTGGACTACCAGGCAGGAGGCAACTGGGGGCTGGGCAGAGATGCCAGCCATTCTCAGCCAGACAGTGAAGGCGCGGGGAGGGGCTGCACAGAGCCCAGGAGCCCAGGAGAGTGGGGCTCAACAACCCAGCTCTGCTGGAAGCCCGAGAGCCTGGGGGAGAATGAAACAGGGCTCCTAGGCCCTTGGCCCCAGAGCGGAGAGAGGGTGGCTCTGTGTATATCAGTGTGCAAGAGTGCATATACTTATGTGTGTATAAGGGCATCTGTGTCCAACTGTGTAAGCACAAATTATGAATGCTAAAACTGGCTGAAACTGGAGACCATCTCTTTCAGCCACTCAGTTTCACAGATGGACTAGGCCAGCTAAGGTAAGGTATTGGCCCTGTTCACATAACTAGTTTGCCTGAGAGCTGGGTCTATATCCCAGTTCTCCTGAGCTTCCCATTATGCTGATCTGTGTACATCACTTTGGGGGCATATACATCAATGGGCAGATTTGAAGAGGTGTGTACATGCATGAAAGGTATATGTGATCTGTGAACCAGTGGGCAGGTCTGCCTGAGCTGGCGTACACACGTGCATGTTAGCATTTGCTTGCCAGGCACCAGGACCCCAGATTCTCTCTCCACTGAACTCACTATAACCTGTGCCTGCTGCCTCTCCCCTGTAGTTTGCTGCTGGCCCAGGTCTGACTCCTCTATTTTGCCCTGTCCCTGTTGAAGCACATGGCTCTCTGCTGAGTTTCAAGGGACAAGCAGGAGCCTACTCCCGGCCCATGTTGAAAGGCAGCTGGGCAAAGCTTGAGGTCTCTGGCTACTTCAGATGTTCTCAGCACTTCCACGGGCATGTGAGTCTCTTCTGCCATTGCTGACCTGCTGTCTCCCTCTGAGGGTGGAGGCCTGAGGTGGAACCGGCCAGAAAAGTGGTCTAGGGCCAAAGCCCCTTCTCATCTGCGATGTGTCTCCCACCCAAAGGTCAGAGAAGTGGCAGCCTCCCTGTAGGGCAAATCCATATTCCTGTGGCTCACTTCCTGCCCCAGGCCTGGCCTCTGGCCACATGCAGGGCCTGCTGATGTGAGGTTGGGAGGGAGGCTATGGCCTACCCACCAGTCCCCAAATATAGTTTCATCAGCCTAAGCCATCATCCCCTCAGGCCAGCCTTGAGTGGAGTCAGTAGCTGCCTCCCCATGGGGCCAGGACACGTGGGTGTCTGAAGTCCCTCCATTAGAAGTTGATTCTTTCCCCTCCACCAGCCACACTTGCCCTCCCGACACCCACGCAGTAAGCTGTGGGCACCCCAGGACCAGACGGTAAGTGAGCTTTTTAGGTTCTTTCCAGTAAATTAAGAGCAGGTTTTAATGCATAGGGGGAAGAAAGAATAAGAGGGGATTAGATGCCTGGAAGAGGGGTGGAAAATGTGGGGGCACTTGCACTTCCAGTCACTTAGATTCTCTCTCTAGGCCTCTCCCTTGTCGGTAAGATCAGGATAAAAACAATACTGCCTGTCCATGGTGATTGCAGGTAGCACAGAGTAATTAAATGATATCACTGATGGGAAAGCCCTGTGTAGAGAGAAAGCGCTGCATACACTAGTTACTGCCGGGTGGGGGTGAAGGCGGGGGAACCCACTGGGCACGGTGAGGCCGGCGAAGCATGTGGGCCCCACAGATTCTGCTCTTGCCCCACAGCTTTCCCTCCAACACTGCGGTAACTCTCTCCTCAGTGGCCCTAAGACCAGAAAGGGGAGAAACCAACGTGGGTCACACAAAAAAGTGAGTGGGAGGGAGATTAGGCCAAGCCACAGTGGGAACTCGGGCTCTTGCCCAGCAGTCAACCACAGGCCTCCCTGCCTCTTCCCTTCTCCAGGAGCCACATCCGTGTGCGTGTGTGCACTGACCACATGGGTGACCCTAGACACATCTCCCTGCCCCACACCTGACCCACTGCTGGTCTTGACCCTAGGAACCTCACAACAATGTCACTAAGACCCTGCCCTTCTCATAGGAAGATGCGGCCAGCCAAGGATCCCCTTCACAAATACACATGTATGGGGGATGCTGGAGCCTTGGGCCCCAGCCACCAGGTCAGCCCCTCCTCTGTCCTCCCTAACCACAGTCCAAAACAGAGGCGCACAGTGAGACAGGCACATAGAGTCAGAGACTCTGAGCTAGAGGGTCAGACCTTCTAGCCTCTCTGAGCTAGAGACACCAAGAAGTTTGGGAACGGGAGAAAACAAAGACATAGGCCTAGAGATGGAGAGATAGCCACAGAAACACAGAAAAACACACACTTGTGTCCTGGCCCCAGACCCAACTGGTGGCCCCCTCACCACCATCAGGTGCTCTTGTCCTACTCCTCCCTCCTTCCCCTGCCACCTGTACTCCCTCGATGCCATCTACCCCAAACCTCAAAGAGAAAGTACCAGTGCGCCTGAGTGTGTGTGACTTGTGGAGGAGGGGAGGGGAGAGAACGGGAAGGGGACTGGTAGAGTGGTGGTGGGGTGAGAGGAGCTGAAAACACCTTCCAGGAGGCACCTTCAAAACCTGCCCCTGCGAGCCCCTTCCCTGAAGCAGCAGGTGGTGGGAACCCAGATTGGGGAGGGGGAGCTGAGTAATCACAGGATTACTCAAACTGTTGCCTGGGAGCCTGGCCTGCCAGGAACTTACCATCTAAGGGCCTGACGGTGCCAGGAACCAGAGCCAAGCAAAGGTCAGGGACCTCTAGGCCAGCCCCTACATCGCTCGGCTCCCACAGCAGCCCTCGCTCTGTCCGTACCCTCGCCTGCTTTCTTGCAAAGATCTTTGTATCTCACCTGCCTCTAAAAGGAGAGAGAAATGCCTGGTGCGGTGCACATACTAGCTCCTTAAATCATCTAGTGACTGAATGACTCTAGCCTTTTGCATCTCAAACAAGATCACCTGGGAATCTTGTTCATCTGTGGGTCCCTATTCAGAATATCTGAAGTGGGGCTTGAGGTTCTGCATTTTCGTAAGCTCCTGGGTGGTGCCTGCGCATGCTGGTCTTCAGCTTATACTATGAGTAGAAAGAATTTAGTCCTTCTTCCTGCTTTTGTGCCAGGCTGCTGCTCCCAGGGGATGGGAATAGGGCTGGCTATCTTCCTGAGCTCATTGTTGTATCTTCCCTGCCATCCAGTGTGACTTGTAAAGCTTCATTCTAGTACAGTACTAGAAAAAGAAAATGAATCTCCTCTGGATTGCTTCAGAGATCAAACAATCTCCAGGGAGCATCCTACTAGAACCTCCTTGAGGAGAAATACGGTAGAGGCAACATAGTCCTCCTCTACCTCCAGCCCCCTCTAATCGCACCCTCCTCACAGCTGCAAGATTCATTGATAGTGCTCTTTGAATGCACCCAGAGCCTGGCCCTGTGCCACCCTAGGAAGCCAACCCTGGGTCCTGTCCAGGTGCCCTATGCCACAGAGAGGAAGTGGTAGGAGCAGAGGAGGGGGATCTCTCCCCACAAACCCCAGAACCAGCCCCAGTCAGGGTGGAGAATGGATTCAGACAGAGGAACCCTGGGGTCCTCAACTCCTTTTGTCAGTCTAGAGCTGGGCCCCTTCCTCTCTTCTCTTTCTTTCTCCCTTTTTTTCAATGGATATTGATTAAGGAGGAATAATAATGATAGACGTAAGTGTTGGCCAAATTCTTACTTTGTGCCAGGCTTTATATGCATTTTTATTTAATCATCACAATAACCCTGTGAAGTAGGTACTACTAGAATTGTCCCCATTTTACAGATGAGAAAACTGAGGCCTAGAAAGAACAAGTCGCTTGACTAAGGTTACACAGCCAGATGTGGCAGATCTGGCATTTGAACCCAGGTCACTGTAGCTCTGGAGCCAATGCCCTCAACTATTAAGCTATATGCCCTAGGAGGATGAGAGGCTCAAATGCATGGAGGAGAATGGGACAGGGGACATGGTTATTGGCTGCAGGGGAAAAAGTGTGAAGTGAGGGTAGTGAGCTAAGAATGCAATTTAGGGAGGAAACCCATAGAACTAAAGCCAGGACTCATCTGTAGTATAAAAATCCAGAGAGATAGTGTTCCCTCTGTCCCAACTCTTCCTCTGTGGTCCCAGCCTTTCCCCATTTCTCTAAAGCCAAGGTGGGACAACTTGTCCATCCCAGCAGAGTTCCAGATTTGGGACTGCTCCAAAGACCACGGCTCCTTTTAGGGTGTGGACTAGGTTTCCTACATCCTGGTGGACCTCTCTCGGCAGAAATGAATGAATGAATGAGAAAGAGGAATGTATCTCTTTTCTCAGCTTAGGCCCCCTCTCTCCCCACAACCTAAACTCTCAGTGCCTCTCCCCACTGTGACCACAACTCTAGCTAGGGGTCCCTTGAGTACCCCAACCTGCCACCAGCCTCCCTCCTTTCTCAGCTCTCAGTTCCCCCAGCTTCTGCAAAGTTGGAAACCAAGGTGGTGGGTGCTGCCACAGGGCAGCAGGAGAGGGAGGGCAGGGTGGGGGCCAGGGAGAAGTGGTTCTACCTGGTGCACACTACCCCCAGCCCAGGCCAGGGCC